CTATATTTATGTAATTGTATAACTATACGTACGGTTAAGATTATTTATTTGTATTTATAAATAAAAAATGTAATTTATTGAAAGACTACGAATGATTACTCGTCCTTAATCCGCTGACAATACGAATTAAAAAATTTTATTCGCCACGATCGCGATGATGAAATTAAAAGCTTGCAAATTGCAATTTTACGACAGAAATTAGCCAAGAACGAAGACCATCATTACAGTGATATAGACAATCGTTTGCAGTATTCCAGTTTTCAGAATTTAGTTTATCTGTCAATTAGACTCAAGAAAATTGAGCCTTGTGAATTAGCTACTTGTGAAAATTACGATTGACAACAATTATACGATATCCTTACATGAATCAGCCAAGAATGAAGGCCAACATTCTATTGTGTTTTATGATTCTGTTGTTACTTTTTCAAAATTTGGTTTGTACTAAGGAATCAGCCAGTTCCGAAGAGTCAATAGAAATTCCACCAAGGAGACATCTCCAAAAAATAAAAATTCAGACATCTCCTTTGAATTTCGTCAGAGGAATTTTACGCAAGTTTCTGAACTTTTAAATCAGAAGGAAATTACTTAAAACGTAAGAATCAAAGAGCGAATGCTATACAATAATTTATCATCGTTTAAAACTTGAATCAATCGATAAGGAAAATTAGAATTCTTTGGAAAGAATTATGTCTATGCGTGCACGTGATTCAAGGATGTGCTTCGAATATTTCTAAACAGCTCAGGGAACAAAGATACGGGAATTACATAATTTCCGGTAAAACAAAGATAATCTACTGTACAAAAAAAATAATATTCGTGATGCAACACACAATAATTAGTGTGTTACACACAACAAAAGCGACTGTTTAAGTAACCGAGTAATTCATTTTTACTTCGGTATAAAGAAGAAGTGCCAGAAGCTGCTCGACCAGCGATAGAGAAATTGAAAGTAACCGAGAGGCATAGGGGCCCAAGTGTTTATTAGTGTGATCTTTGATCTTAATTCGTTTTATCGTAGTAGCTGCTCCTCGCACGAGACTTAGTAAAGCAGTTTGCCGTCGTCTTCCTTACTGAAACTATCATTATTTGGCTGCACTTCAGACAAAACCAACGACCAAAATCATGTCTCGATTTCTTTTCTTCGCTGTTCTTCTGGCATGCGTATTCTACGTGCTGCAGGTAAATACAAATACATTAAATAATTAAATTAAATCTTAAACTTAATTCGGTATTGTTATTTTACAAATTTTAACATAAAAAGAAGTTACAATGTTTAAATTCTAAGACAATACCTTTTAATTCTAAAGTATTTTACACTGTAAAGTGTTCGTTAAAACAGTTTACACGCATCCATTGGCAACAAAGAAGAAAGTGGAGCAGAAAATTTAAATTATAAGTTGTGTATACACGTGGACGTATCAAGTTTTAATTTTCGTAATTTTTCCATGTTATTCAGGCCGTTCCTGTGCCAGACGATCCCCAGCAACCTGCAACAAACGATTTAGATAATTTGGCGGCGGAAGCGAAGAAAATGCTCGATGGAGCCAAAGATTTATTTGCAAATGTAGACCTAACCGAAACTATGCAATCAGCGAGAGCGTATCTCGGCCAAGCAGGGGAGAATATTCGTAAAGAACTAGAGAAGATGACCGAGAAAGTTCAAGGATAATTTATTTAATTTACACACTTATAAAGCTTGTAATTTTTAATATGATCTTTTGGGCTATTTTTAATGGATTTATTATGAAATTATGTTTAGAATATGTACATGTATTAAAAACAATATCAACTTTGACTCGAGCACCAAGATAAAAAAGAATGTTATTTCGTTATAATATAAATTATGCGTGTTTTGGTGTATCAGTGATTCATAGTTATGTAATGTATCTGCTTTGCTAAAATATTCTGACAATAAAATTGTACGTGCACATGATGTATTTGTTTTTGATCCTTTTATCGTTTAAATAATTCCAGAAATTTAGAAAAAAATGAATTTATAATTAATTAGCATCTAATGATAAATCAATTCCACGGTTCCATTACTTATACAAAATAACGATAAACAAGCTTCCGTGAAATCCCCCACTGAAACCATGTAAAACATAAATCATAATATGTAGGAAAACGGATAATCTCTATAAAAATTGATAATCTAAATAAAATTGCCACTGATTAACACAAATAATATGCATAATTGCAGAGTGAAACGAAGAAGGAGCGAAACGTAGCGTGAAAATCGGGTGAAAGTGTATAAATACAGAAGTAATAAATATACATAGTAGAATCAAAATGGTCATGGGTCAAGGCTTCTATTGACAAGCACATGTAAAGATAAGCAGCTGTACCATATGGACTCTGAAGAAGAGATTTCATAGAATCAACAAACTGCATCCGGATAAGTTTTTCCAGAGGACCTTGTCCCCTTGACGTAGCTTCCTACAACTATCTTTTATTTACTAATGAATTTCAATGATCAATAACATTACTAGATATCTTCCTACTTACTTAATCAGAGATCCATCGTCATTTTTTATAAATAACTGATTACAAGGTTTCAAACCTGACTTTCCTTTTACTTTTTCGAAAATAAAATTAATAAAATCAAAGAAGGAAGTGATCTGTTGGGAAAGATAAATCTGTTTATTATTTAAAATCTACAGACAGTAGAATATCAATAATGAAAATGAAGAATAAAGGAACTACATTATACAAGAAGACTTATTGATTACCTTTTGAATATGATCAAGAATTTGACAAATCTGTATTTAAATCGTGCGATGTTGTTCTGGTCTGAGAAATAATGACCCAAAATTGATAATAATTGTAGCATCTTTCGCCTTGAACTTTAACTTAACCGTATCAAACTAAAATCAATTAATGCGCTTTAATTATTTTCGAAAATATAAAAATGTATTAGCAAGTGAAACGAAAAAAAAACTGTAAAAATATAAGAAGTAAAAAAATAATACCAAATCATCCATACATGGGTTGATAGAAATTTAAAATAAAAGTAACAGGAATTCGACATAAAATTCTCCGAGTTATGTTTCCGAAGCGTTTAAAGCGGGAGGCGAAAATCATGGACTCATTGCCGTCCAAACGAGATAGTGGACACTGGTGCCCTCGTGCACCCTCGATAAGGATCGCCTATAAAAGTAGTAGCTTGTAGCGGCTCGAACCATCAGTCACTTTCTAGTTGTATCACGGTGAATTTCCTAGAAATAAAATCAAGATGAAGAGCATTCTCGCGATCATCTTAGCCGTTGCGCTAATGTCAGAAGCTAAAATTGCACCGGGAAGCACGAATTCTCAAGGAACGCCAGAACTTCAATTGAGCGACCTAATCAGCCAGGCTCAAGCAAACATCAACGCGCTAGCGAAACAGATCCAAGAACAGTTGAATATACCCGATCAGGAAACCATTGTCAAAACGGTCAAGGAACAAAGCACCAACTTCGTCCACAATATTCAAGATTACGTGAAGAACATTACCGAAGAGGTAAGAAACTTTCTAGAATTACTTAAACCGCTAATGTTTTCTATCTTATGATATTACGTAATTAATTTTCAAACAACGATACCCGGATCGACCTCCAGGACGTATGCAACGATACTTTGACTGATAGATTAAATAAATATAAAATTTAATTAGATACAATAAATTTTTATAATTTCTAATCAAATTTAAATTTTATGTTTCAATCAATTTTAATCATCTAAAAGCATTCATTTCTGTTGAGATAGCAATAATTATAGTAGCTTAGATAAAATATGTAAAATTAGGCGCTTAAAGAGTTTCATACGTTAAAAAATAATATATACAGAAAATTAGAATTTTTATAAGATTCGAAAAAAGAAAGATGCGCGCCAAATGATTAAGTAAATTCAAAACAGTTGCGATATGTAAAAGAAGAGATCGATCGATTTTGTGCATCTTTCCAGGTGAAAAATAAGAGTCCTGAGCTGGAACGAGCATTGAACGATGTTAAATCAAAGCTGAATAAGGTCGTCGAAGATATCAACAGCGGAATACCGAATGCTCAGCAACAGGTGAATGAATTACAGGCCAAATTCCAACAAGGTGTTCAAACCGTGCTGAAGGAAACCGATACTGCCGCAAAATCTCTGAGCCAACAATCTGAAAAAATTCAAGAAGACTTTGCTAAGTTTACGAAACAAGCGGTCGACATTGCTGTGCAAGCAACACAGAATCTAAATAATCAACTTCAACAAGCCGCGGCTCAGAAGAATTGAATAAATTTTAACTATTAATTGCGTAAAGAGACCAAAAGAAAAACAAAAATTTTTCAAAAAGTATTTCCTTACGATTCCATTACAGCCGTATCATGACCTATTTTTATTTTTAAATTTCATATTATATATTTATAAATTAAATACGTTTTATAAATTACCTTATCAATAATAAAATCTCTCAAGGATTAATCTATCGTCTTATAATAACATTGGAACAATTTTCATGTTATCATTAATCAGAGCCGGTCCTGAAATTTTGGAGGTCCGAGGCGGGCTCCGAAAAAGGGGCGCTTCACATATATGACATAAAGGAAAGTACCTGAAATAAAATTTAACTAATTTAGATTTACATCGATTAATATTCAAATTGTCTTATGGGGGTCCTGGACCTTGAGGGGCCCTAGGCGGTCGCCTAGTCTGCCTAGGCCCAGTGACGGCCCTGCCATTAATCGTTATGAAGCAATGCTTTGTTTGTCAAACAAATTACTCAATTATTAAGAATATTTCACTCCTGAAAATATATTATACAATATGTCAGTTTTTATTTCGTGTCAGCATATATCTTCTGCACGAAAAGCATTTATCGAAGATACATATGTTTATCGAGAGTCTTATAAGCGTTAAATACTTTCCAGACATTTAATTAAGTAGCTGATCGTTCAGAAGATCGCGATTCAGTTTTTCTTTCATTTTTAATAGTTTCCAGTTTCAAAACGTAAAGACATCGCAAGTAAATAGAGGGAAAACGGTGACCCGGAAATATTATTTAATACTTCACTGAAAGCTCGCGATATAAAAATTCCCATCATTTATATGTAATTTAAACGCAAACGTTTATTATAAAGAAATGAAAATATTGTGGCTATTACTTTTCGTGACATGGATGGTAAGTAGTCTAAAGTGTATGGCTATTTTGAAGACATATCGTTATTGAATTTTTTGCCAGATAATAACGACGGAAACTGGCGAAATATTTGCTAAGGAACAGAAAGGTATCTTGAAAGAACTTTCGAACGCTATATCGAACAAAGTTGATCGCTCTAACAGAGAGAAACAAATAAACAAAGGATTTGAATGGATACTTCAATGTGTAAACGTACTAGGACAAGTGGACAATTTCATTTCCGACAGAACGAAGAACATCGTTCACAAATTACACTTAATTTATAACGACAATGATGAAGATACGTACAGAAATCTGAATTAACTTAAATGATATTTGTTGAAATTAAAAGTTTTTATAAAAAAAAGAATGTTACTGCGATACCTTATTGTTATACTAAATTTTACAATGAATTCACTAAGAAATAAAACATCTTTTTAAAATCAAAAAACGTTTCAATTGATTTACAAACTTACCTATATTTAAATACACATTATTATACACGTCAGGTCTTGCAATTTAAATATAATATAGTTTACAAAGTATATATTGTTGAATTATTTTTAATAACAAATTCGCTTAGACAGCGAACGATATAAAGGGCCACGATTAAAGATGCATTTCCATTAGAAAATAAAGCGGAAGCAACGATGAAAATAGGTCCTTTGGCGGGGAATTGCGGATGATCTTTACCAGAATCTCTAGTAATTTCTCACTAGGTGGCGACTCTATCCGACAGTCACCGGGATCAGGTTGATCGGGCGACTTGTGCTAAGTTTTATCCTTTACCACATGTTGATTAATTAAATAGAAATATAATATCGTGGCCAAAATCATTATTTCGGGCTACCGTTATTCGTTTCTTAACTCCGGCAACGCAAAGTTCCATATAGGTGATTTCCTGCGTAAACGGAACGGAGTTACGTCACGCATTAGCAAGATATCGTGTGTCGGAGCAGACCGTGTTCCCCCGTACGTCTCCTCGAATACAAAGTGTTCCTGCTTTCTTTGCTTGAACTCGCGTGTCTGTCAAAACTCGAAAGTCACGCGCGCACTAGACTTTCTCAAACGAATGTTTCAGATAACCGTAGCATTGACGCATAACCTATAAACGATCGTGACTGCGAAAAGTGATCGTGAATGTTGATAGTTGTTACGGCCAGTACGGCCTCCTGTCAGTCGTTTCGGGGGTCGAAAGAGATTTGAAAATTAAAGCCTCTGCTCTATAACGACTAGTTCTTGAGATTAAAAGGAAACGAATCTTTAATATTTCCCTAAATTGGGACGTTTCGATCGAAGAATTTTTTTGACGTTGAGCAGTCACCGGGAAATTAGTCAAAATTCCGGTCCCCACTAAAAAACGAGAAGGTCCGCAACAAACCGGCGGCAGAAATCCACCAACCACTGGCGAAGAATCCTCGTCGGGTGGCAAAATGAATAGCAAAAGAAAGAATCGCTCTAATACTAACAGGTACTATTTTCCAATATTTTTCATTTTTTTCTTTTAAATTTTCTCCTTTTCCCTTTCATTTCATTTCATAATTATTCGTTTCAAATGTATTTACAAATATTTTTTCATTTATAGATCACCACGTGCCCGTGGTCCACAAGAAAGATGTGTTGCTGCTGAAGGTGTATATAATAATGCTCATTTCATGCATGCAATAACCAGTCATGTTGGCAACATTGTACAGGTATTACAAATATATATATAGATGGTAAAGAGGAAGTTACATTGCTATTTAAATTTAATATGTTCTTTTAAACATTTATTTACTAACACATTTGTGTTATATTAAGTATAATAAATATTTGTTACCCTATAATGCGTGTTATAGTTTATTTATATTATTACAGATTCAAACATTAAATGGTTCTGTATACGAGGGTATTTTTCGTACCTTCTCCAGTCAATTTGATGTTGTACTAGAAATGGCGCATCGGGTAGAAGGTTCAGGAAAAATAAGCGTAGAAAGTGTAGTAGAAAAATTAATTTTTAAACCGCAAGACATTATCACTATGTCTGCTAAGGATGTTGATCTAGATTATGCTATACGTGACACATTCAGAACAGATACTGTTATTAGCAAATACAATGGTTTAATCGGCGAGAAGGAATTGGAACCTTGGGATGCCCCTCCAGCTACCATGAATGGAGATGATTTAGAATTAGATGGTACTACTGTAAGTATTTCAATTATGTAAGAATACAGGAACAAGATTAAGTATGTAAATGATATATTTCAACGCATACATATGTATATAAACTGAACTTTAGAATGGATGGGATGCTAATGACATGTTTCGTAAAAACGAACAAAAGTACGGAGTTCAAACGACATACGAACCTACTTTGGCTGCCTACACTTTGCCACTTCAAAGAAAGGATACAAAAGATTATAAAGAACAAGAACAGAAGGCTGCGGAGATAGCTAACGAAATAGAGTCACAACCAAATCATAAAGCAAGATTAGAGCTTGAGAATGGTGATGAAGAGGAAAGATTTGCAGCTGTGGTGCAGTTTTTTTTTTTGCTATTATCATTATTCTGTAACAAAGTGTGGAGTTAGCTATCCTCTATTAATTACAAACAATTTTAGGTGAGACCAAATGAAGGTAAATATATTCCACCTCCACTGAAGAAGAAAAATGGGAATAGCGGAAAAATGATGAGATCTAGCGAACCTCCGCCTTCACCAGGACCAGCAACCACTAATAAAAATGTTTTTAATCAACAACCTCCGTCCACTGTAAATGTAAACATTCCTCCGTCATCCAATCTTCCCATCGGAATGCAAAATGCTCATCCTTCAGTACAACATCCGGTATCTATAAATCTGGGATTGCCACCTAGTGGAGTAGTAGTTACGTACAATAATCCTCCGCCGCCATTTGTACCGTCATCGGCAACACAACCACCACCGCCACAAGGTATTGAAGAATAATACTTATATTGCTGTTCATTAAGAAATAAGCTCCGAAATAATACATGAATTCATATTTATAGTTCCTGTGATGCAGCAAACACAACCGCAATCGCAACCTGCTCCTGCTGTACCGCAAGTAGCTTTTCAACCACAACAACAGCAGGTACCTTCATCCAAAATAAATACAGAAAAGCGTGAACGTCCTGGCAGACAGCAGGTGTATCAAGCTGATAAAGCACCACCGGCACCATTCCCTCAAACAAATGTTACCTCTTCTCATCAACAACAGCAACAACAACCTTCGCATCAACAGCATAACCAATTACAGCAACAAAATTCGGTTGAGGGACAACGCTGCGAGATAGTTTCGCATAAATCAGATCATAGGAAGGTAATGTTTTACTGTTGATCACATTTTGAAGCATTGTATTTCAGAAATAATTGTACGAAATACATGTATTGTAAAAGGTTCCAACACCACGTGGCAGAGAAGAGCAACATTCAGAACTACGACAGTTCGCTTCAGATTTTAAGTTAGCAGAAACACCTACGCAAGAAACTCCACCCGTTACAAGAAAACACCAGCATCAGCAAGATTCTCATTCTTCGCCTCAAATTAATCAGTCACATCATCAATCACCTCATCCACACACTACACCACAACAGCCACCACAGCAATCACAACAACAGCAACAACACTCAAATCCGCAGCAACAGCAGCAGCAACAACAACAACAGCAGCAGCAACATCAAAATCAACCAGTTCAGGAGGAACCTGTAGTTACAAGTAAACCACCACCAGGCCCATTATCTGTACGGCCCACGAGTCCTTCCCAGCCACAGCAACAACAACAACAACAGACACCTACAAGCACACCTACTGCATCACAAGCTTCGCAAGAACCTGCTGTTGATAAAATTACAACGGCTTTCAAGAAATCAACTTTAAATCCAAATGCTAAAGAATTTAATCCAAATACTAAACCGTTCACACCGGTAAGCTACCAAGTATCCGGATAAAAAATGTAAATGACAATTGCATAGTAAATTTATAACGTAAATTATAAAAATGTTTTTAGCGATCGCCGAGTACACCAACGCCAAGCAGACCGCATACTCCGCAAACTCCACAATACACTGGAGCAACAATGCCTGCGACGGTAGTTATGCCAGCGTATGTAATGACTAGCCAACCACCTACTGCATTCAGTCAACCACAAGCTCAACCTATGACAAGGTTCCGGAAGGGTCAGTATCTAGGTATCCGCGTCTTATTTCCAATTGTCTATTTACTAACACACGTATTACAATGTTGTCTTAAAAAGCCCAATTATTGTTTTTCCCTAAATCGTGTTTTACTACGATCATTTCAGTACCAGTGATGCACGCGCAACATCGCACGCAAGATATAGCTTCTCAAATGCAAGTGGTAGCGGCAACTGGACAGCCGTTAATGGCACCAGCTCCTTTACATCCACCATTCCAGGTGCCTTATCCTGGCCAACCGGCATATCAGCAGATGGTACGCATGGTTCAGGCACCACCACCACCGCCGCCGCATATGGCTACACCTTATCATCATCATGACTCACCAGGACCACAGGCTCCTGGTATTCAGTACATGGGTCCACATACACATCAACATCCACACGTTGCTCAACAACCACCAAGCCAAACTCCCTCACCAGCAAATCCTAATCAATCCCATACACCGGGAACTTACAATCCTCCTGGTACTCCACAGCCTACCTATCCTCCACCTCCTCCTCAAGGCCATGCTCCGAGTTATCCAATAATGTGTCCTATAATTCCTCCTCATATACCAATACCACCGCAGCACATGCAATACCTACCGCCGCAACCACCTCCGGGAGCGCAGCAAACTATACCAGTGATTTTGCCGCACAATCAGTAGCTGCTATCAGAAATGGATGATGGACGAAAGAACTACTAGTATTCTGCAGAGGTAGAATAAGGTTTACAAATCCAAGTTACTTTCATATCATTAAGCACTTGAAATTTACCTTTATTCTTCGTAACATTACATCAGTATATCTGTAAACAAACGTAAAAAGTTATCTCCTTATTTTCACATTGAATATCGTATTTTCTTAATAGCAGAGAGTATCATTCCAGATAAAGTAACAAATTTTTTAATATAATCCAACAACCTTTACAAATAGAAGATTATAATCGTGTCAAGTGCTGATTATCTTGAAAGTGACTTTTTTTTCTAGATGGGTTAATTAACTATAGAAAACCCACGATGATATTTAGTCCCTCAAATTATACTTGAATTTTATTCAACACATAAATTACCACCATGGAAAAATATAAGTTATCGATTTAATTTAAATGCAATAAAATACAGTTTTTTTTTTTTAATTGATTTATAGTAACGTGTGAAATGAATTGGCAATAATGATAAATTACAAAAATGAAAAAGCGAGGGACAATGACTATTAAAAGCTGCAAAAAGTATTCGAATTAAACAAAAAATTTCACATTTGAGTATCGTGTAGTTTGCACTACTTTGTAAACATTTATTAAGCCAGAATCCAACCATTTCAAAGTTGGTGCAGAGTGCTATACTACAGGCTGATGAAATGTCGGTCTTTAAAGATTCGAGTACTCAAAACTGAAAAAACAAAATCATGAACATCACGCGAATAAAAATCCTTTTTTTTTTACACGAAATGATTATTGGAATGATGTAAAAAAATAGAACATATAACATATTTTTCTGCCCGCGCTTTCATACTTGATATTTCACCGCGGTGAACAAGAAGCACAGAAACAGATCAATATAACTTCTAACTTTAATTAAAATTGCATTCGATTATGCAAAGTTGAACGACACAACGGCAAAACAATTGAGATAAAATTTCAAATTTCGCAATTTGTTGACGATAAATTTTGTTACGAGATGCTAATACATCAAGTCTTCGAAACAAACAATGAATTAGAAAAAAAATGTATAAGAAAGAACGGGTCCGACAAGGTACGTCGTTTAAAACGATTCGCTAATTGTCGTGACAGAAAAGCATCTGTCTATGAAAGAGGTACAAATGTTCAAAATTGTATTATTTTTAGTTGGTAGTTAAAAACACAAATCTCTGATATTAACACGGTATATGTATGTGCATATATATATTGCATAAATCAAACAGGTAATAAGTTATTTAAAAAAAAAAACCCGTAACAATAGGAATCGTTGCTTCAATTATATCTTATTTTTAAATTCTCATCTTAGCGTTAAAATATTTTGAAACTGTATATTACTTGATTTACGTAGATACCGTGTAATCTATGTATCTTTTTAAACGAATTTATTTTTCTTATAAATAATATATGTTATAAATTAAAAGAAGTAGACATACAAAGAGTCAAAGAAATGTAGAACAAAAAATGACAGAAATATTTTATTGTCCGAGATAGATCATGAGGAATTCATTATATCAAATACTCAAAACTGTTAATGAGATAATTCTGTTGATTGTGTACCTCTTATGTATAAATGAAATACTATCAGATGCTGTGACATTGAAAAAGACAAGTTGAATTACGGCCTTAGACCTAGTCGTGTATATAAGAGAAATGAAGGCAAGGACGATCCTTATTTGAGAGATAGTTGAGTGTGTGGCATCGTTAGACACAAATTTTATATCGAAGAGATTTAAAAAAAACATCAAAATAAAGTCAATGCGTTAAAAGCCAATTTATGTGATAATTTATTAATCCTTCCTGACTAATAATATCCTGCGTATGCAATTTATACCTATGGTATTATTCGTTCAACGAGAGATCATACCTGTTTCGCGCGGTTTAGGGAAGCCCTCTACTTTTGCTTCTATCTTCCTAACACTTCGCGGTCGTATACACGGTAGACAAAAATATATGAATAAAGGAAACAAGTGATAACGTTGGAGGTCGAAGAATATACTGAATATAAGACCACTGGGTACGCTGCTCGGTGCCATCAGAATTAACCTGCGCAGAACGAATGAAAACCCGGCGTATGACAAGTACGATCTCTGAAGTATTGATAATTAAAACTGAGGTGGCGCTTAAATCAGTTTCTGTTCGGCCTAATTTTCGATGAAACGTTGACTGTTTTACCGACGCGGAATTCGAAGTTCAGCCTCGACGCTCGCATTTTCACGAGAGAATAGTATTACTATCGGTAGAATGAATTTTGTTTTTTTTTGCGCATGTTGGTTCTAATTGGTTTTGTCACGCTCCGCTACTAAGGAAACACGCAAGCGCCGTATGGCTATATGTCGTAAGCCACGCTAGGCAGAAAGTATATCCGGTGATCATAAACTTGTGAATTATGATTCACTACCTCTATCCTATAATAAGCCGTTCCTATATTAGTATATTTTGTCCACCGTGTATTTGGCGGATGCAATGGGAAGTAAATCATGGTGGGGGAACTTTCTGACAATGAGCTTAGTCGAGCTGCGCGAAATGATACTACTTCCTCGTGAAAAATACAATACATTGATAAAAACGTACCAGTACAGTAAATAACATTATTGGCCATGTAACTTATTATTTTATAATTGAATGTATATTTTTAGCAAAACATTGTAGTATATTGTAAAAAAAGATATTAGTAAAATGGCAGAGAAAACAACAGTGGGAGGTATTCCAGTTGAATGCTTAACTGGAGAATCTGCTGCCATTTGGTCTGGCTGGCGCATATTAGGAGATAGAGAGGTTGTCAGAGAAGCATCTGCAAAAGGCACACATATTAATCTTGCTCATAAATATTTAGCATGCAGACGAAATTGTTCTATCGAAGATGCTCAACATTATTTCAATAAAGAAGTAGAAACTTGGATTATAGAACTTTTGAATAAACATCAGATTTACAGGGCTTCTCATATTTTAAATAATATGGTATATTAAATTTATATTATTATATATCATCTGTTATTGTTTGTATTTAATACTTTTTTTTTATAGAAAAAAAATCCAGTCGAATATATATTTGATATCTGTATAAGCTGCAAAGATTTTATGTTAAGAGATTATTTAGCAGAATATCTAATAAATGTTGAACACTTTCAAATTGAGTATTTAAACTCATGGAATATTATAAAAAGTATTATGCAATTTGAACAGAAATATATGTAAGTTTCTCCATAACTATATTTTATTAACTTAAACAGAATAGAAAACTAAGAAGCATAATTTTTCCAGGATTGAACATAATTTAAGCTCTTCCTTATCTATAAAAAAAATTATAAAATTGCCTGAAATTATAAAACAAACATTATCCACTGAATTATATTTTTCTATGCCTGAAGATATTCTTTCTACAAATATAACTAATAATGTACTATGGAATTATTTACTGTCAAATAATAAAATTGAGATGATAAAGTTTTGGATTGATAATTATTATGGTGGTAATGTAGTAGAAGAATCAAATGCAATTGGTGAAGAATATAAATCTTTGTTCATTTCTTTAAATATTACATCAGAAATGATTGAGATGATTGATTCTTCAAATGCTAGCCCTCTTGTGAAGGATCTAGCTAAAAACCAATTGTGTAGGTATGTCTTTGTCTGTAAAATACTGAAATATCTATACATGTTTATATAAAAATTTATCGACTTGATTTCTAAATTCATTAGGTATGGAATATTTTTGGAAAAAGAACAGCAAGATTTAAAACTAATGTTATCTCGTATTTTTGGTAATGCACTGACACTATCAGAATTTAACACAATATTATCCCATAAATCATGCAACATTGATAGAAATGAATTTATACAAAATGTTGATAAGGAATTGTGTCTTGCACACTGTTTAAATGAAACAAATACTCAAGAAGATAAAGTTAAACTTGGAGAATTATATGATACATTAACAAAAATGTGTGAAGGACAAGGAGATTGTCAAGATGTGTTGATAGAAGGAATTTTTAAGACAATTTATTATCTTTCTGATAATGTAGATGAATATTTAAAACAAAATTATTTCATAGTTTTAGTATTAATATTTTCATACTTGTCTAAAGAAAGCATAATAAACGAAAATGAAAATACAGAAATAAAAACAAGTATTTTAAGAGATATATTTATGAGTAAAAATGATTTAAAATTAGGCGCTTATAGTATTTCATATGAAGTCCTTCAGAATACACTGAAGCACGTGCCAATTCTTAAACGTTTTGTGGAGATTAAACCAAAAAAGGAAACCACAATGTATGATTTATTGGATGGTTATAAAAATTTAAATGTAAAGCGTCTATTTAAATGGCGTTTTGATGATGAATCAATGCCTCACTTTTCAAACGATGCTCTTGTTAAAAAATATGGATATACAGAAGCATTAACATATGAATATTATTTGAAAGAAGCTCGTCCTAACATGGCTATATTTAGTTTAAAATACTCCCAAGGAAAATTAATTGGAAATATATCTTCTAGAAGGTAAAGAGAACTATGTTATACTTATATTGAAAAAACATTATAAATTTAACACACTAATTGCAGGAAATACAAAGCTGCACTGTATGCACACCTTTTTGCTTTGCAAAATTTAGACAAACCAGAAATATTATGCACTTGTGTCTCATTTATTGAAATGTTAGGTGTTGACTCAGAAAATTTAAGACTCCACATAACAGCAGCAAATTACATACAAAAGGAACTGAATATTTCTATTGGTAATTTTTTACATCAAACATTTGACAAGTATCAAAATTATAAATATTGTTCAGTATATTATTTAATCCACAGGAAATTTATTAGAAAACATAATATACAAAAACGAAGATGACTTGAAAATTGTTATGTCACATTTTGAAGACAGTTTTAAAAAGAATTTTACTGAAAATATGATTGAAGATAGTCAACAATTTATAAGTATATTAAAAATATGGGACATTATTGTACGATTCGCAAGAGTGCATAATTTTCCTTTGCCAATCAGCTTGTTAAAATTTTTAGCAAACCAAAATCATTGGTTCGAATTTACTTTAGTTTGTGACGTTTTTGCTTATCCGTTAAACCAGGTAATAACTTCTAATTAATTTCATTTCATTGAAAATTTTATTGAAAAAAAGACCATATACTATGTTGATTTTAGGTATTAGAAAATGCTAAATGTTTCGAAGATGCAATTTTAAGAGAGCATTTGTTAACTTGTTTAAGCAATACACATCTTACAAAATGTCAGCCAACTGTTTGTAATGAACAGAAAATGAAGTCACGAGATGTTAGGCAATCACTGTATTACAAAATTGGAGTTAAACAAAGTGTAAGCAGTCAAAGTAATATGTGCATGACATATTTAATAAAATATAATAAATAAATATATTTTTAATTATAGGGATCTTCTATTTCTGAGTCTACAGCATCAGCAGATTCTGCAAACACTTCTGATTCACATAGTTCATGTGAATATCCTATACATGACAATATTTGTTCTCCAGATGACGATTTATGGTTGATTATTTTGAAATGTCATCAAAGTCCAGATCCACCGGGTGCTTTAATAAATGCTTCTCGACTAACATTACGACCTTTTCTCACAGTTCTAGCAACATGTTATGAGGTATATCTTATGTTAATACATATGCCTTTTTGTAGAGAACTTTATTCTGCTTATATCATTAAAATTCATTTTAGCCATCATCAACAGCTGCATATTGTTATTCGTGGATGGTAATATCTACTGCAGATGAAGTTATACTCTCTAATTACAAAGAATGTTTAGAGCAACAAGTATGGTCTGCAAATCAAGTATTTAATTTATTAATTAAAATGACAACATGCAGATATATCAGTACCCTTAATAAAGGATATAAAATTTTTATGCCTGTAAGTATATTTTATTTATATTAATAACAAGAAATTTTGTATTAGTAATTTCATTGAAATTATTCAATTATAGGAGAGTCCTTTCAACTCATTCTTCGAATTCCTTGTGCAATGTATAGATTATGGTAACTTTGAAGAGTGCCAACACTTACTGGATTTTAAAACCCAGTGTTCAAATTTAAAATGCAATGTACGTTAAGCATTGTTAACATGTTTATATATGTCTATGTCTAGATAAAGTAATGTAATAATTACATATTTCTCAGAAAGCTATGGATTGGGATTGTTCTGATACTACCTATTTAAATAATTTGCATTGGGTCGCGAGCGTTGCAATTAACTGTGTTATTACAACACTTGCTTACGGTCTTAGAAGTACACATTTACAAACAAAATTTCTCAAGATATTAATCAAATGTAATTTTTATGCAGATCTTCCAGGTACTAAAAGATTTCTTATTACCATTTATTTATTGTAGAGAATCATATTAATCTTACAACAATTATTATATATTTTACAGTTTACAGTCCAAATTTGCAATGTCTTCTACATGTTATAAAAATTCTTCAAACAACTAACGTTACTCTAAATTTCACGGTATTCACCGTATCGAACGATGTGGATAATTTTAATGCAGAAATTCAAAGATGTATTAACGATTTGTTAAAAACTGAAAATTACAATAGTGCATTAGAATTATCGAATGCGGCAGGATTAAATTCCTCTGATATAATTTTAGCTCAGGTATTATCTCAATATGTCCTTTATAATCATTTTTTTCTGTTTCATAATAATGCATTGGTTATATTTACAGTATCGAAGTAAATTTAAATACTACATGCAAAAAAATGATAGCATTGACGATAAATTTTGGAGTGAGTGTGCACGAAATTTCGAAAAGTATAATGTTTCATGTGAAAAATCAGCGGAGTTTTTTATAGAACATGCCGAGAAAGTTGTTTCTCATAAGGAGAGGTACGTACATCCTTTTTATAAACAGAAATTTGTATTTTGATTCAATTAAAATGAATAATTGATATAAATTTTTTAACAGATACGAAATATTAAGACTGGCTTTCGAAAAATTAAAGAATGTTGAAACAGAACAACAAAATATTGATGCTTTAGAAGTAGCGATGTGGAAATCATGTATATTAGCTGGACCTGAAAATATACAATTAGATAATGAGTCTCGTACTTTCAATAAACTGAAAACAGAATTATTATCAGGATTAAATAAGTTGAAATTTAGTTGCACTCTAAATAATTCACATGAAAAAAATGCAGCCAAAGAATTAATTAATAAATTAATTGATTTGGGAAAATTAGATACTGCACTAAGAATAAGTACTATTTTTAATTATAAACATAAAGTAAGTATCGTTAATTTTGATGTAACAAACGTTTGTATTGACTATATGTATTAAATATTCTACTACTTGCAGGATTTACAAATTCTGATGCTATGTTTGAGTTTGGCAGAAGGTGAAATTTCACCAGATGAGTTAACTGTTGAACAAAAAAATTTGTTGCAAAACATAAATAAAAGTAAGCAACAAAAATATGCCTTGAGAAATCGTTTGCGAAGACTGTCTTCATCTTCTTCACGTAACTATTATTTTTATATTTTTTCTATAATAAATTATTAAATGACTATAACATATTAGTAAACAAAAGTTTTTATACAGTAACTATTTCAACCAATACCAGTGAAATAAATAAAATAAAAGATGAAAACATTCATAAAGTACAAATAGAATGTTTATTAATTTTACAAAAATCACTTGAAGCTTTAGAACATGGAGTAAATACATGTCTTAAAATTGTATTATGTTATAAGCTAGCAATGCAGCTAGGAAAAAGTTACCAATTACTGTTAATGTTGAATAATCCGATACAATTTCTACAAGAAATTACAGAAAGTGATATTGAAGATAAGTCTGAGGTTATCAGTGATATCATTTCTGCATACAAAATAAGCAGCGATACTGTGGCAATATTTTTAGCTGAGAATATCACTGTAAACATTAGTCATGGTGTAGAAGGTATGTAGTTATTGAACATGCTGCAAACTTATATGTGACTATTATAAGTTTCTGATTGTTACAGGTGGATATGAGGATAACATTAGTTTGTGGGGATACTCTTTGAATACAAATTTTCGAATAATTATGGAATTATGCAGTGATGTTTCCCTTCTTGGTTGGCAGCTTTCAAAAACTGCAAATAAATTACTTGGATATTTTCATAGTGAAGTAAGAAAAGGTATTATAATAAGCATAATTGCCATTGCATTCATGTGGTATTTAAATTTGTCTCACAATCTTCCTTTATTGTTCAGAGTCAACTCTAAGGACTATTGTAGAATTATTAATACGAGCTCATGACTGTTTTACAACTTCTTGTAATATGGAAGGGATAGCATCAGTACTACGTAAATGTCAAAATCTTGCAAATGTTTTACAAAATCTTAAATATTGGGCATTATTGGTATAGCCTCATATGATAAAAATAAAGAATAAAATTATTATCGTAAAATAATATATAATAATTGTATAACATGATTTTAGGTGCATCTAGTAACAGGTGTTGGTCGTTTCACAGAAATGAATTACATATTTCAAATATTAAAAGAAAACGATCAGTTTGAATTCCTGCTTGGAAAGGGATTGGATAAAGTATGTTTTACCGTTTACTGTTTGTATAATAATTTATATATAGTATATAAAATTAGTAATTCATTATAGCCAACTGGTCTAAAAACAGCACTTTTGGAATTCTTGAAACGTCAATGTCCTGAAAATAAGGATCTTTTTACATTGGTAGCATTACATTTTCGACTATATTACGAAATTGCACTAATGTGGGAAAATGAAGCAAAAGATGTAATTAAATCATTAATATTAGATGCAACAAAGGATCAGGGAAAACTACCAAGTACTGCTCAACATGAAATAAAATTGACCAAAACCGAGAATGTTCAGAAACAACTGCAATTAGCAGTAACTAATTATACTCATGCAACACAATACTATTTACAAGTAAGTCGTTTATTATATTAACAAAAATTTATTCATAATATCTATTTATATTATGTGTTTATATAGGCTAATAAATTAAATTTTGCGGGTCAGTGTTCTGATCAGGAACAACTAGTTGCTCTACAACTTTCATTACTTAATTCAGTAGCTTATAATCAACAAGTAATCTCTATACTTAACTTAAAGTCTGAAGATATAGACAAAGTGTTATGTCACATTTGTAATTTTTCTCAAGCTCTTATTGTCACACATGCCTATAATCATAATGTAGATTGGGCTAATCTAATTTATAGTCACTGTATACTAAACGGGGAAACAAAATATTTAAAAGATTATATAGTCGTGAACAAATTAACTCCTGCTCTTGTACAAGATTGTGCTCGAAGGTAAAATAACTATTAATTTAAAAAAAAATCTTTGTCTATTATTATAATCTCTAAATTAATTTCAATCAATTATAGATATAGATTGGAAAAAAGCATTACTCATGATATGACAGACAATATGAAAATATTAATTTCTGAATTGTCAGACGTGGAATGTAAATATGTGTTAGCCAGCCAGTTAGGATTTAAGAATATTGTAGAAACAATGCTCAATAATCCTATGATAGCTGCATACCTTAAAGATACAGTGTGGAAGAAGGGATATAACGCTACCTAATTGCTTTACATTTAACTAATTCCAACTATTTAAAAAGACAAGTACCAAAATGTATATAAATTTTTATTTTTGTATAAATAAATGTTTCCTTATATTATTAATGTATTTATCCGTTTTGTGTATTCAAAATTACATTTGATATAATAATACAAATTTTATTTATTTATGTGCCTATATAAAAACAAAAGAAGTATTTCTCCCACTTCACAGTTTTACGCAATATAAAATACAAATTAAAGTGATAACGACCTCAAAAATGTGTTATAAAAAAATCGAATGTCATGGTAACTCGGAAAAAGGGGCGATTCTTAAATTAAATGCATACATAAAAAAATATGAAAGAAAATTCGGAAAAATATCATCATCAAAATTTTTATCACAGAAACAATTAGGATTATTGAATCTCATTCATAAATTAGTAGAAGCTATTGATAAAGAAGATACTGATAAACAACAAGGTATCAATCAATTCATATTATTCTCAATCGCTATTTACAAATTTTCTAACTTTATTCGTTGTATTATAGCATTGCATATACTTAAATCATCTAATGAAGCAATAAAAGAAACGATTATCACGTTTCAAAATTCAATGAAATTGTACAAAGATACTATGAAGTTTGAATTTGCAAAAGTGGACTGTTTAAGTACAAATCGACTTTTAAATATTAATTACGCGTATATATAATTTGCAGATATTATGTACTTTTTAAAAATAAGTAACTTTAACCATTGTGTTATTTATTTCGTTATTATAATTTAAAAATTTATCTACAAAATATAAGAATTTATTTAAAACACATTTTTAGATATTACAAGTTTTCTCAAGTACCTTCACTCGATCGACGTTTTATGGAATTCGTACTTATGTCAGATACGTTGCCTTTTCTTTTTATATTTACGGTTTGTGACACAGAATTGTTCAGTTCCTTTTGCAGATTTTCAGCCACATGAAAATCGCAATGCTCCTGATACTTTAATAAAGGTATCATTCGACAACACTGTACACACTGTTTAGAAGGCACTTCAATAAAATTAGGAGATTCTTTTCTAACGAGGAAACTATAAATATCACCAAGTTTCTTTGCTTTTGAATCATTTGTCTTAGATCTATTTTTTCCCTTTGTATTTCTTACTATAATTTCTTTCGCATTATCCTTCTTATTTTGTGATTTTATATAAAATTTTGCTTCTTCTTGTAAATCTAAAGGTAATAATGCAAGTACACTAAGGTCAATATTATTCAAATCAGGAAATATATCTTTTAGTTTTATGGTACTTTGCCCATGATTTATATTGTTATTTATATTTATGTTTGAGGATGGTTGCTTTTTCTCATCCTTACTACTTGTAGATTCATTATGTTCTTCAGTACTACTGTCTGAAGCGTTCTTATGATTATTCTCACTTTTTTGTACATTATTTTCATTTAAATTTTCATATTCGAAATTAATATTCGTATCTTCATTAATTTCAATCATTTCAATGTCACATGCATCTGTATCTTTCGATTTGGTTTTTTCTGAATTAAAAATATTCATAAAAAATGATTCTTTGAAATCATTTTGATCTAACGAATTGTTAAAATTATAATTATTCAATTTCTTACTTCGCTCGTTTAATGACATAATTAAATTATTTAATTTACTAGAAGTAGGTGAACTGTCTGTTTTCTCATTACAAATTTGTTTATTTAATTTTAAACTATTTTGAGAATTCTGTATATTTTTAACTATACTATGTGATGCGTTATTCATTTCATTAATTTTAAAAGTGCTAATGCATTTATTTGGTTGCAAATTATTCGTTATTTTAGTAATACTATCTTCTGTCTCCACACATTTTAGTTTTACATTTTCTGTTTGATTATTTATGTCCTGGGTGTGTTTTGTCTTACTTAATTTAAAGAAGTTCCTAAGATTTTCGTTGTCTTTAGCAGGAATAAATTTTCCAGCTGAGATTCCTAAATATGCTATTGGACATTGCGTTGATTTAGATATAATTTCTACACAGCGAATTGCCATTTTTTCTGGTTTATACGAATTTAAAGCGCACGAACGTGATTGAGATACAGTACTTCTGTTTTGATAATAGTGATAGCATATTGTAAGTAACGTTGCACGTCGTTCATTTTCCTGAAGATCTTGTTCCAAACGTTCACAAACTTCTGCTGACAACTCACTAGCCCAATGTTTTAACTGCAAATAAAATATATGTATATATTTCAACCAATTTTGTTTAGATAAATTTTAGTAGGTAATTTACCACATCTAACGAAGTAATAGCCAGTTTTCCTGGAAACGTTTTGCATGCTCCAATTGACTTTGATACAAGTCGTGTAGTGACAGGCTCGTTGTCTATACCTCGAGCAATATTAAATAACCATAATCTATATAACGGAAAAAAACAATAAAAAAGCAAAAAGCCATGAATGTTATTTGAAAAAAATATATTATTATTTGAAATATTTTATTTATGAATGTTATAACATAGAAGGCATACCCCGTTTTGTCATCAAAACGTTTTTGTAAATATTGCAATGAATACTGCAATAAGTCACCCATAACATTACAATTAAGAGATTCAATAACAACATCTCCAAACTTTCCACCAAGATTTCTAACTTTTTTTATAGGTAATGTTGAATAAAGTTTTGACACTGCATTCAAAGGTAAAATTGTCTGTCTATTCGGTTTATGCAATCCACATGCTAATTTAGCTAATATCTAAAAATACATCAATTATCTAAATGATAACATCAGTTTTAGAAAACAGTAATATTTCACTTTACCTTATTGAATGAAATACCAGCAGAACATTTGAATCCTGTTTCTTTAAATATGTCATTTCTTAATTCTTCAACTATCATTCCAGCTAATGCAAGTTTCTGAGTTTGTACATCTTCAAATTCTTCAAAAATATTTGTAAGCCAACTATTTAGTCCTTTACATCTTTCCTCTAATATCATATATAACATCATATACTCAAATTTACTAATAGTAGCAAAACTTTAAGATAATTTGCTTTACCTTCATCATTATTTCCAATTTCTGAATATCCCACTACAAATGTATTACAAAGCTGTGTTGTTAAACGCTCTTGAGAAATAGAGTTTGTAGACATTTTTTTAACAACAATGTCAGTAATATCTAAATATGCTTCATCCACACTAGCTTTTTCTATTATATTGCAATGTTTCTTTATGACATCAACAACCTCACGTCCAGCACTTCTATATCTACATAAATATTCAAAAAATTGTTAAATTATACATATATACGTAAAAAAATTTTCTTATTTTTTTTATGTACCTAGATGTATCTGCTTTTCCACGAAGACATGGTACAGAAGCTAAAATAAGATCCGAACATTTTTGTTTGGCTTCTTCACCTCTCATGTGTCTAGTAACCCCATATTCTCTTGCCTCATAATTAACAGCAATTATTCTAATTACACAGAGTTAATATATTAATAATTTACTTATGTAGTTGTAACTTATATTGGTTTAAATCTTACCCTCCTAACTGCCACTGATTATACTGAACAACAGCAAGTGGTTTTCCAGCATATGCTGGTTGAAGTTTTGTTTCAACTTGACAGAAGAAACAATCCATATCAATTAATACAACAATTCTATCATTATCTGTATTCGCCATTATAAACAAATTTAAATAATTATATTTGATATAGAATAGAGGTTAGAGATTCTTATAGCGTTCTAATAATTTTATTTATTAAAATTTTATATATATAAAAGTGTTTATTGTTTTTATTCGTACAAACATTGCCTACACTTCTTTAAAAATAGTCAAGTTATGTTATAAAATAAATCATTGTAAAGATTCATAAACAATGGTTTCAGCCGCGAGTTCTCAGAAAGCGCCGGTGATTCAAACTTGTAACTTGTAACTTGTAACTATACATTTGTCGTTCCTAAAGTTATGATATCTTGTAAAAGTGAAGTTATAATAAAAAGATATCTTCGATCATCATTAAAAGTTTCATTTTATATGAATAATGTCAATAAATTATTTGCTCTTGTTAATAAAGATCGGTAAATAATATGAAAGATAAAAAATTATCAGTATTGTATCACATATCAATATAAAATAAAAGTAATTCTAATAATACATGTTTTTGATATATATTTTAGAACACATTTTATTTATATACGTATATATATTATATATGTATGTGTTAACCGTTACATTTACGAACATAAAATACTTCACAAATTATTGAAAATACAGATCACAGATGTCTGTCAAGTTTGGGAACACCTCATCTGGTATTACAAATACAACATAAACTCGTTTTTTGCGAAGTTTTATTCGTTTTTTATTTATAAGTAACTTACGCGGTTTGAAGTACTTATAGTTTTATGACAATGCCAAGTAAAAAGAAAAAATATAATGCACGTTTCCCAGCGGTGAGTATCAAAGTATTATGTGTAGCATGGAAAGATTTTCCATAGAAATATTTATGTTTTACATAAACTATGATTGTTATTTTAATAAAAGCAGTGTAGTAATTAATATGCAGTGATTCTTAAGCCGTAAAAAAATATGAAATCTCGTAGGTGTAAGTGCAAGTAAAATCTTTAAACATGTACATCTAACCTATTTTTTTATACATAGGGTCGAATTAAAAAAATTATGCAAACTGACGAAGAAGTTGGGAAAGTTGCACAAGCAGTACCGATCATAATTTATATCCTTTTAAAATTATGAGTAAGAAATAAATAAGTCATTTAGTATCTTAACACTTAAATGATTAATGATCTTTTTTTGTAATGACGATTCCTTAACTATTTGTATACCTAGAACATTAGAACTGTTTGTACATTCACTGCTTACAAAAACTATGGAGATTACAAGTGCCAAAAATGCTAAGACTCTAAGTCCATCTCATATGTGAGTATAATCCTTTAAAAGAAATTGATTCAACTACAGAAACTCATATTTATTGACAATTATTAAGTTATATTTATTTATAGGAAACAGTGTATTTTGTCTGAAAGTCGTTTTGATTTTTTAAAAGATTTAGTAAAATCATTACCAGATGTATCAGGACCTGATGAAGAAGTGCCTACACCACCGTTGACACCTGCTCCAATAAATACAAATCTGTCAAATACATCTGTTTGTGCACCTGTAGTACGACATTCTGAAGTAAGGTAAGTAATCTAATATATTATTTTTCATTTTATAATCATAAATATATCTTCATATTTTTATAGAACTCAAAAACAACAAATGGGATTCAGTACTGAAGTAAATTTAGAAAGTAAAAATTCAAAAGATAATGGAGGAACAGGAATACACAACTCAGGTGGTGATAATGAATTAACAATTAAAGACACGTCTGTTCAACAAGTTCCAGAATTTCAAATAACTGTGCCTGCGTCATTTCAAATTAGTCAACCTAACTTTTATACAGAAGTTAATCCTATGAATTTAAGTACAAATACACCTGGTGTAAATGCATATAATCAGCCAACATCAAATTTTGCTCATACTGCCACTCTTAATGAAGACTATGATACATAGTCATTTTTCAATACTAGGATTATAAATTCACACATTATTAAATTTGAAACAATTACAGAAGTGTTTAATAGAGTGTCACAAATTTTTGTTCAAACTATTCATCATTAATAATTTAGAACATATAATTTGCATTATTCGAACTGTTTAGTTATTTATATATGCTTTACCAACCATCAAGTTTTGTATTTTTATATTTGTTTCATCAAATTGCATAATTGTTTCGTTTAAACTAGTTAAATTGATGTATTTGGTATATATAAATATTTTGTACTGTTGTACTTGATTAATATGAAGCAGTTATATTTTTAGTATATTACTTTAAAGTATATACATTCGTGTATAGTAAGTGTGAATATTTGAGTTCACACAACTATTGAATACTACAAAACATACCTATATTGCTAATATTCTGGACATAGTTTCTTTCACTATTCATATATTTATGCAGGTCCATTGTAAATTTGTGTAGGTACAAACACTTATTGTTAAGAACGTAGTTAGATTTATATTTAGTAACTATCAGATTTTTTTTAAATGTACCTCAATTACTTTATATATATACATATATATATACATTTTAGAATCTTTATTATTTGCAATACAATGTATACATAATAAGCTTTATAACTAAGATTTTTTTACTACACATATATGTAAAGTATGCGATTTTTATAAGAAAAAAATTAATATGTAACAAAATATTTGCATCTTAACATTTAACGAATTTTTTTTTTTTAAATTGATATTGTCGAATATTCTCATTACATAACGCGCGATGTCTTATTTTTTCTTTTACTCATTAGAATTTATATTTTATATTTCACATAATATTTCACGACATGTTGCAAAACTATTATACACAAGTGAACAGTATATTTTGACTAAAACTGTTGAATGGTTCAAAATTCAGTATGTAAAAAATACAATCGGGTAAGACCAGTCTATTAAAATTTATAGAAACTTAAATTTTAATACTATTTTATTTACACAGAAAAATTTGGCATCTACTGTCATAATTGCAAAATGCAGTTATGAACAATATTTGGATGGAGAAGATGTGTTAGAAATTAATAGGAAGAATGCACATACAAAATGTATATTTAGTATATTAATGTTTGATTTCATAGATTTGTAATTATGAAAGATGATTTAGGTAGTAGATGTGATATTCAAACATAATAGAAAAGTCATTTAATTATTAAATGTACATTTTGAGATAAATGATCTATCTTGATGTGAATTAATGAAAAAATTAGTTTATATGCATCTTATCAAACTGTACATATAAAAATTTTATTAAGAGAAGGTTTTTAATTACTTTCAGAGAAAAGAAAACCAAAATCAAAATTGTTTTGAAACAAAATAATTACTATTTAATGTATAAAGTCTTATTTATTTATTTATTATTATAATAACAAAAATTCAAAAAAGTAACATATTTGTTTCAATTGAAAACTGTAAGATCAATTAAGAACTTTCTCATTTGAAACTGGTATGTATGTACATTTATATTATATCATTGTAAATAAATATGCGTAGAATTATTCTAGTAAATTCATTAGTTCATATGAAAATGATGCATCTGTAAATAGTTTTAAAATATTGAAAATAATATAAATATCGTAAGATTTTGATGCCTTAAAAGCAATAAAAAAGACAATACGTTTAAATACATTTTTTATAAAATTCTATTGAATATAGAAAATTTACTCAGGAAAAAAATAAATGAAATTCTTATTTTTTCATTACAGTGAAACTTATAAACAAATAGAAGACATTTACTGTAATAATATAAATAATACGGTTTTTCATTATTTTATGCCTCTTACTAAGATTCTTTTTTATTATTTAAAACACATTAAACCCATCCTAAACAACGCATATTTTATAGATTTATAACAAAATAAAACAGTATTTCATAAATATTTTATGCGTACTTAGTTATTGAAATACATATATAGAATTACAAATTAAAATTATAATTATTCAACATTCGATACTTACCTAGAGAAATTGAAATTCGATATTACTAGACAAATGGCATTTGTGGGCATTTGTTTTTATAGTTATATAAATATAAAAAGAATTTCTATAAATTTTATTTAAAAATTCTTCATATTGATGTCCTTATGTACATAAAATTAATTGAATTTATAACTAAAAATATATGATAAATATTTACATGTCAAATCTTAAAAAGTATTTTATTGTTTATTTAGTATACTTCAGGCAAGAAATAGACTTCCTAATTAATACAATGTATATATATTATTTTCGAGTAATTTTCATAAATCTATGTTATTAAGTGTTTCATATAAACAAATTTAAAACTCATTCCAAAAATTATTAACTCGAAGAGTTTTAATTTTTGCATCATAAAGAATATACGTACTCGAAATCGTATCATGCTTCTATGTATTGTTTAACATGACAAACAACTCTGTGAAGAAAATTTGAAGTTTGACGTGTTCTTTATTTGTTTATAAAGAACTATAAAGAAATGAAGTGATAGTGAAATCTCACTTTTTTTTTTAGGTAACGTAATTCATTTTAATACGTCATATAACAAAGGCTTTGTTCTGATGATTCATACCTCTTCCTTGTAGTCTGAAATTTGTTCATTTCCTATTCAGATTTGTCACTAATAAACTTTTTACAATAAACCTAAATGTTTCACGTCTTATATGTAATTTGCTAGCATTGTCAAAATAGTTATAAATCATACAATTAATTCATAATATTATCTGTTTATGTTTTAACCTTAACATTTATTATTGTTTAATATTTGTAAGAACTTAAATAATTATTATTACTTTGTTACTACAGTTTTATAAGTTATTTTAGTGCTATTAGAAAAATGTTATGCATTTTGTACAATATAATATAATTTTACATCACAAGCATGTAAATAGTTACTGATAATTAATAAGTGATATTTTAACTTATAAATTGATGCATTTTATTGTAATTTTATTTGGTTTATACAGTCATATAAATGGTTTTAAAATGTCAGATGTTATTTAATATTAAGATTTCTGTTGTGTAGTAATTTATAGCTATTTGCTTAGTGTAGATCCAGTATATAGCTTATATATTTGCTTATTAGGTGCATTGGAACATAAGTAGTACTGCTCATCTGTTCGAGTACAAGTATCTCTATGATGTTTTCGTCAGGTCTTAGCTGCAATTTGTCCTTTCCCAGTTGTCTGGGTTATCCACAGGACAGTGAAGAATTAATACCAAAAATGGCTCGTGAGCCAATAATTCTTAATGTCTATGATATGGTAAAATGAAGGGTTTTCTTAATTCTTATCAATATATACTTTTCAGTATATTAAATTTTTCTGTTTTTAGTATTGGATAAATGAATATACAACACCAATTGGATTAGGTGTCTTTCATTCAGGTGTTGAAATCTATGGAACAGGTACATATACAATATATATATAATACATTTTTATCTATTACCAAAAAAGAATTGTGATCTTAATTCAACAAATGTAAATACGTTAATAGAATATGCATATGGAGGCCATTCTAAACCAATTTCTGGAATTTTTGAAATTACGCCAAGAGTTGCAGAAGAATTAGGAGAGCAATTTAGATATAGGTAAGTTTACTAATATGGGTATAAAGAAATTATTCATTTAGGAATAAATTGATTTTTCATTATAGGCAATCAGTACACATTGGATATACAGACTTTACAGAGGAAGATGTAACTAGGATTGTTACAGAATTAGGGAAAGATTTTAGAGGTGACCGTTACCATTTAATGAATAAGAATTGTAATCACTTTAGTAGCCAACTTACACTTGTATGTATACAAAGTTATAATACAGTACTTAGTTTTGTTACTTAGTGTCAACGAAATGTTTTTATTTTAAATTACAGATTTTATGTGGCCAAGAAATACCTGGTTGGGTAAACCGTCTCGCATATTTTAGTTCTTGTGTACCATTTCTTCAACGTTGCCTACCGAAAGAATGGCTAACACCCGATGCGCTTCAACATTCTTTAAGCCAAGTCAGCCATGAAAGTACGCCTTCTGAAAGTACGTCTTCTGATACCTCCTTGTCGCTTAGCTAATTTTGCAAAAGGGAGAAATCTAAAATGCAGTAGGAGTTACACCTTTTAGAAAATTTATGCAACACACGAGGGAAGTTTATCATGACAGTAAATTTATCGCCAGGATCGCGGAATCCAAGAAACAAAACCGTCGAAACGAGGTACAAATTTGATATTGTACTCTGAATTCCACTGGTGATTAGTAATAGAAAAGGAATGCCTTTCTTGCAACATGTCATCTCTTAAACATTGGACGGCACTTACAACGTCGCGTGTGTTCTTTGTTGTATTATATGGTTGAAATTTAATAGATATACAATTGATAGATAATTATGTATAAATCAAAACTGTAAAGAGACTGGGACGTATTTAGTTATTGGTATTCTTTTCTTTTTTCAAGAAGTTCTTCGTAACTAAGGTTTTATACATGCAATACCTTTTATTTCACATTACTTTTGCAAATTGATAGATATTAATTATACATTATTCATTTAATCATTATTTTAGAAATATTCTGTGATGCATTTCTAAATATTCAGTAATCTAGTACTTTTGATTACAATAGAATATTATCATTACATATACATGCGACACCTCTTTGTACAGCTGCCATTAATATTATTAGGAAATTCAAATGAGAAATGAATTTAATATTGATATTCATACGTAATAAATAACCAAGTTATATATAACTTATTTTTCATGTATGGTTTAATGAAAATATGTTCTGTCGAAATAGTTTTATAAAAAAAAAACATATTTATAATTTTATAATTAAGCTAGTCCAAATCAATGATCTTGTACAACAGGTATATTGACTTCTATGAGAGTATTCTTAACTTTGCACGATACAAAATTAATTGCAAAAATATCATTATTTTCGAAGTTCTTTTCAAGCTGTAAACCAATGAGTGAATTAGTGAGATTGCTAAAATTGTTATTGACATTAAATTTATAATGTAACATATTAAAGAAAACTGATAAAGCAATTTGAATATGATATAAATACGTGAAAAGAAATGATATTGATTGTTTTATATTTGTATAATATAACGCAAAAGTCGAGTAAAAATTAGTGCCAATTTGATTTTTATTAATTCAGTCTTTAGGAATACTATTAAGAAGTTGTGTTACATACAATTCAGATTGATGTTACCAATCATATGTATGTTATATTTAATATTAACACGTAAACATTCTTCATTGAATGAGTTGTAGCTAAATTTAAGATATATATGATAATTACAATATTTTATCTAAAATATTTTGTCTTACATATAAAAAAAATTGTAACATTAAAAATGTTAAGTACATGATATGTTATATAGTACACTGAACAAAATTTCTTATCATTATATTTGCAAAAATGGCATAAAAAATAAGTAGTCATTACTAGTATCTTATAGATCAAAGCATGTTTTATATTTCTCACTGACACTTATATTGATACAATGTTATAAAATGAATAATTACTTTCGTGATATTTAGATCAGTATAGCATAATAAAATAACGAAATATACAAAGCACAATATACAATATAAGTACAAAAGCTTGTATAATTATCGAAGTAATCTTTTTTATAATGATATTTAGTTTTTTGTTTCAGTAAGGTTTTTCGTCTTACTGACGTTTCTTTTTTTTAAATAATAAACATTCAAATAAGTATCCTTTGGTCTTCTTAATTGTAATATCTATAAACTTAAGTGTACTGTATACACGAAATTTAATAGTTTTCCATTTTAATGGTTTAACATAATTTATTTAAACTTTAATCATTAGTACAAAATATTTGTAATTAATAAGCATGTTATACTTACATATAAAATCAAGAAATGTACGTACAAGCCTTTCAATTTATTAATACACTTCCTTTACTCAAGACAATAAATTATTTTTTTAAGGGATAATGAATTTTAAAAGAAGTATATATATATATATTCTTCCAGGACGATTTTACCAAACAAAATATAAGACAGAAATGATAAATATTATAGAAGATATTTACGAGGAAATCTTATAAACATAAAAATTTGGTTTTCTTTCTCCATAATACCACGTTCATTCTATAATTTACAACAAAAATACATTATTCAAAATACGAGTAGTTCCTTGCAATTGCTTTTAATAAATATCGTAAATAATGCACATATTAGTTTATAAATAAGTTTCATAATATAGAATACACTAAACTAAATTGCTAAAAAAAAGGGATTAATAGTCAGGTCATTACATGCACTGGTATTAAACCAATGGGATACATAAATCATTATTAATTGTTACAGAAAGTATTCTAACAATTCGTAAAAAAGTAAACTATTGAATCATACAATCTATATATGCATACATATTCTTCTATTCTGGTGCAGAATGCCAGTCGTATATTTTGATTATACATAAAAAGAAAATTATAATTAATAGCGTGGTTTTTACATGTTATTAGAAGACATATTTAAACTTCCACCGTCGTATGTGCACACCAAAAGAAAAAGAGAAGGAAATAGATTTAAAGGGTCTAAAATCAAATTCGAAACTGCGAGTTCATTTAGAAATTGAATTATTTACAGAATAGAAAATCAATACTATACAAAGTGACTATTTCTTCGTATGTTCTATCCATTTATAGATAGACTCGATTCGAATAGAAGGCAACAGAAAGATAAACACATGTATCTTTGATTTTAGAACCCTTAAGTAACAATGGCAGATGAGACGACAAATTAATGAATTCCGTTGGTAAGTACAATAATACGTACATTACTATATAATTTATAAACATATCTCGATTACATTTCTAGAATAACTCTAGAATTTGTTTTTTAAACTTTATTTTATTCCGGTACGGACACCAATATCTGTGCTAATACATTCTTCGTTCGATAACTTTAACACTTTTCTTCTATTAACGGTCTTTTTTTAAATATTTTTTAAATATAAGAATGTCAAACCTATTGTAGTTGATATATATTTTATTTATAATATATATGTTCAGGTCGTTATTACACAAATGTGATGGAGATATTTCAATGTTTTTGTTTCTTTTTTTTGGCATTATACGCACATTAGAATTGTCTTAAGTAAACTTTGACGTCTATTAACGATGGATCTTTCAAAGAGTTGGAATTTCGATTATTTATGTATATCCGACATTGTTTTATGAAAATAAAAAAGAATTCCAAGGAATGTAGCATATCAATATTTTACCGTTGCAATATTCCATAAACGTCTTGAGATTTTTTTAAACTTTTTTTCTTTTCCATTAAAATTCATTATAAATATATGAAAGTTTAAATGCAATATTATATTCAAAATTATTCTTTACATGCACTTTGTTTTCGTGTACTGAAGGATTGGATCAATATTGTAGTAATTGGCTTCTTGTTATACTGTATGACATTATTTAAATTATTGAAGATAAAGATGTGTCTCCAATCTTCATTAATTTCCTGTATAATTATCAAGCACCTCGGGATTCTTAACCATTAAATGTAATTTTATACTTTAACTACTGGCATAGAATCCTGAGACAGTTATTTTGTTCTACCAACTCTTTTTCTTTTCTTCTAGTATAATTAGTAAATTTATATAAATGTACATGGAAAATGTATATATTCTATACATTAAAACATATAAAACTTGTTATCGTGTTTTCATTTTTATCGTAATTTCACTTGTTTTGTTCTAATCTTATATCTATTAAAAAAGTGAATGTAACTGATTAACTATTATGTGATATTATGTTTTGTCTGTAATTTCAAAACAATTTATAATTTCTTGCATTTGTTAATTTTTAAATGTATTAATATAAAAGTATTAAAAACGTTATAGTACACAACGTGTCTTGAAGCTGTTATACAAATATGTTAATACAAACTTAAAATTTCATTTTTGAAGAAAAAAAAAGGATAATGATACTTTATCGCCTTAGTTCCATTTTCGATATTATTCTCAGTCATTATGCATTGCACTTATAAATATATTCGGTCATCAGGTTTTTAATACATATACGCTTTTTTTAAAATGAATCTTGTCACTTTAGTGATAAAATAAACAAAACGGCACATTTTTAAAACGAAAAAACAGGTTTCGTTGCAGTAAGGATAAATCAATATTTAACATTGTTCCTTTCTTGTCGAAAATATAGTACTTATACGTTGCATAAAAGTATATAAGCCATCTTGCTTAATAACTACTTATTATCAGCGGGAGTTTCCAGTACATTGCACGATTATTTCTACTATTCACACGCTGAATAATATGGTGTACCTTACTGCATTATGACGCAATAAAAATGGTTTAGTCATAAGGCATCAGATCGATTCACTTCCTTTGAATTTGTTTATGCCGTTACGAATGATTAAGTATACGTTTTACTTGAAACTATTTTGTTTTATATACCTACATTGAAAAGTAGGTACGATAGATTAATTAGGTTAATCCTTTTATTGCTAGATAATTTGACTGAGATTTCGATTTGATTAACTTAAAAACATTTAGTCATGACGATCAAAAGTTAAAATTATGCATAGTCTGCATTAAAAACTCAAAAATAGAAAAACGACACCCGCTTCGATAATATATGGCATCGTTAAACTGACTCAATGATTTCCAAACACATTATTTACAATAATTTATCGTTACGTTAACTATAAATTGCCTTGTTAATTATATAACTTATTATGTATAAATCCTTTAAAACCAGAAAGTTATTGCAATGTCGTGTCAGCACTGGTTTTTACGTATTCATTAGATCTTTGTATCGAACTAACTATTTATGATGTGCAACCTTTCAATTCAATTGCATATACGAATATCATTCTCGTTTGTTATGTTTCTAATATGGTTAACATATTGTACAATATCAGGAGAATATATTGCACAAAATTAAAAGAAAGAACAAAAGAAAGAAACTGATAACTTTCCAGTTGAAAAATCAAACATAAATATTATTGTGTGTAAAAGACAATATCATAGATACTGTAACCCTACTAATTAGGTGGTGCACATAATTACAGTAACTTACTAATATTATGAGAAGCGTTAAATAAATTTTTATGAATCGTATGAAGATGAACCATGATCGTGAGCGGGACTTGGTGGCGTTGATGGATTTGAACTGTTGTTTGAAGCTATTGAATGTCTAGGACTTCCACCAGAGGTGTGTTCCTATATAAATTAAGTTTTATACGTTCATTACGAGGATATTTTCTTATCATCACTTTTCACGTTTGATTAATTAACATTTATGTAATAAAAAAAAAAAAAATAAATAAAAACAACAGATACCTTGTCGTGTAAAGATGGAATGCTACCAACAGAAAGTGGAGTATGCGATCGTAGGTGCACAGATTCCGAGTCAACTTGGTCTACAGGAGTACGTGGTAACGAAGGTGGAGTAGCAGTTGGTCTTTGAGGCGCCGGTCCTCTACGTGAAGACGTTGAACCTACAGAAAAAGCAAGACCAAAAAAAAATGATTTGCATAAAATATTGAATGTAAGATTTTGTAAAAAAAAAAAAAAAACAAAAAAAACACATAATTAAGTGTATACCATTATGTGGCGAATAACCTGAATTTCTAGATATATGAGAACTAAGACGTCGAGTATCAGAAGGAGGATGCCTCGGCGGCAATGGCGCTGGTTTACTTGGCGTTTGAAGTGCTGGACCATACAACTATAAACGATTAATATAATATTAGGAAAAATATTATATTAAAAGTACCCACAAAGATGTATTAAATTTGTTACTCTTTGCTGACTGCTATGAAGGTGAGAGCCACTATGATGACCACTATGCTGTTGATCAGCTGTTTCAACAGTAGTAGGTAAATCTAGCAACCGTTGAATCTAAAACCAATTATAAAACATGTATGTATATATAATATATCAGTGAAAATTAATAAAATCTAAATAACTTACCTGTATTCCATTACCTGGACCCATATGACTGATATGATTGAAATTCGTCGGAGCAGATATCATTTTTGAGCGTCTGTCAGTAGGACGAGCAGCTCTGTTTCCTTCTCGTAATGAAAACCTTCTTCGTGGTCTTGTCATTTGTCTACCGCTCGCATCTAGTGGAGTTAAATTCAGTAGTTCTCCTATGATGTTAAACAGAATACATTTTATAACGTTACAATGATTATAATTAATATAATCTGTAAAATGTACTAACGTTGATGTAAATTGCTCAGAAAAATAACATGTGGCATGTCGTTGATAATGCAAGATGTTAGAGAGCCTGAAGTATTTAGTGGTCGTGCTCGTTTAACATTAAGCGTTTGTAACCAGTCTCCAGTTGTACAGTCAAACACGTCAATGTGAGTTTCACTATAAACTAATAAGTAACCTTCACAATAACCTGAAAATCAAAGTTACATTACATTCCAGACTTAATTTTAATGTATACTTAGAAGGATACTTACTAACTGCTGTAGGAACAGCAGGGTACATAATTTCACGATCTCTGCTTTTTCTGCCTTGGCTATCGACATAAACTGCCAATGTATGGAAGACTAATAAGAATTCACCACGCGGTAATTCAATACAACGTAAAGCATCCACAGCGCTGTATGTGAGAAAACCTAAGAGCGTATTCTCAGAATGGACCAATGCTAAATTATATAAAAAAGAAAAATGAATATGGTTGTCCGTACGTTAAATCAATTATTCATTTAATAAGGTTTATACACACAAATAGGGTGATGGTCTCCTAAAATGCTGTAGATAGAAAAGCCGGAAGGATAACCAACACAGAATCGACCTTCAGAGAGAATTTGCAAAGTTTGTGCGTGACATGATAACATTAATTCACGTATACGTTTATGACGTGTTTTGGTACGGGTTATTTCATAGATAATCACTTGCGATGCATTCTAAGTTAAAAAAGAAAAATAATTCGATATTAAAAACAACAGATGTTGATTACATTAATTTTTAAATATTATAGGAAGAGAAATTTTCTACCTGCTTTTTGATGGCAACGCACAAACAATAAGTTAATGGGCTACGGCGTACTACTCCTGTCGTTAAAGTAATGCATCCTTTAGTCTCTGCAACTTTAATCCATTCGACCTCGTCTCCATCCAATGCACGTACTGGAACCAGCCGCACATGACGTTGTTTTCCACTTAAAACTACAATTAATTGTTCTTCCGTTACATATTCCAGTAAGTATATTTTCTTTCCTTCACCGACCCTTGCAATCTCTGAAAGCATAATATAAGTTAATTACAATAATGTTTAATTTCTTGTATTATTAGCTGAATATATAAAACGTAACGTACCACTACGATCTAAATCTAAACAGAAGAGACCTTCTTCTGTACCAATGACTAGACGATCCGGATCAATAATTGCTCCTGACATCACATTTTTAATAAGCGCCAATGTATTATCTAATAATTCTTTTGCTCTAAAAATCTGTGTTGAAAAAAATGAACAATATAATTGTAAATTATAATATTTTTCCACAAGATATCCTCAGTTATTCAATTTTACCGTTGTATTAGGAAGATTATTTTTCTTTAGTATTCTATGTAGTTCACTCAAAGCAACTACCCATTTTGTTTTCTCACTTTCAGTGTCTGCAAGCATTAACGTGTGATTCTTTAAGCCAGGTGGTTCTAGTAAAGATGTTGTTATCTAAATAAATGAAAGAAAAAAGAAATGTTAATGATGAAGTAACTACGATAATGAAACTATAGCAATGATATTAATTCTGAGAATTACCCTAAAAATGCAAGGAATATCTTTTTTTGTAGCGTGTATGACATCCGAATCTCGAACAGAACTAACGCTAAATTCTTCATCCCGCATGTCTAGGACTTGAGATACATACACAGATGGTAATGCATTACGATCTGGTGAAATGTCGTAAAGAAATAATTTGAAGTCACAGACAACCACAAATTGACGAACCCAACCCTTTTTTACTCCTCCCATTTTTGGCACTTTAACATACCCTTCATAAGCTGTACCTATTCCCCGTGTTGGATCAATACCCAATGGTCGTTTTGCTGTAAAAATATGATTTATCATTACTTAGCTAAAGTAATTAATACTAAAACATTAATAATAAATGAAATAAGATTTACTTTGATCATGTGGCACAGGACACATAGGTGGGACCTTATCGCAACAAGGCATGTGACATGCAAAACCACAAACTTCGCATACTACTCCTTGCCTCGTTAAGCCCACCATCAACGAAGTACAATGATTGCACTTCGTAGGCGCTGAAAATGTTCTTACTAAGAACTGATGAGATTTTGGTTTTGGTTGAAGACTGGCTTGCCCGTGAGATGCGGATGATTTATTCAATAGCTCATGGGACAACGGTGACGTTGGATCCTATAAATATTATAATTTAATAAATATTGCAAGTTTATATAAAGTGATATTAATTGTTTAAAATTAATCCTTACAATACTTAGTTCAGATAAATTGCTTTTACTACTGGAAATACTTGGTGCCCGATTATCTTCAATATCAGCTTCAACGCTATCTGCGCTTCCGTGACGTGTACTGCTTGCAGTTTCTTTCAAAAAATGTTCCAAATATGACATTTGAGATGTAGGACGTTCTAGAACTGAAATACAGAAAAAGGGTATTAGAAAACCAACATAATTCAATGAAATAATGTTTGTTTAAATGTATAGAAAATTGAAATTACTTTTGGCGCTGTTAAAATTAATGAAAAAAAAAAAAAAAAAAAAAAAAAAGAAAAGAAAAGAAATACTCATAATACTTTTATCCATAATCTATTAAGATACAAAGTGAAAAATTATGCTTTTTTTCTATGAATGTGTACGTTTAAATCATTGCAAATTTCATAACAGTCTTTCTTAAATATTTTTAATGTAATCACTCCACTGCAATTTGCACCACACAAATTCTGTTAAGGTAGTAATCGTTATTGTGAAAAAAAAATAAAAAAAATAAAATAAAGGGTTGATACTCGGTCGTTCACCAGCAGAAATAGCAAGCATACCAAACAATCTAAAGGCGAAAACATTCAGACACAACATACCTGTTAATTTATGTAATTACAAATTTGAGTAATTATCAGCTACTAAGAAAGATTAACAAACAACAACCATCACCTAAAAACGATGAAGAACTACTAACACTAGCCTTACTTGGGGAACGATTATTTTTTAACATACAAAGAAACACATAATTGATTCTGATAGTGATTTACATTAAAATCAACACAGAGCTATGTTTTAGATATGATCAATCTGATATAAATTTAATGCTTTTTTTTTAAAGATATTTCATATTATTGTACTGTCTTCTTATTGTATCATTAATTAAGAAAACATAACACTGTGTTGTAATAATTAGCAACCCAGCTGACTAGTCAATCAAAATCGCGTTTTTTTTTTTGGCTGCCACTTCATTTACCGGGTGGCGATACGATGGCGACGGCATTCTGACTGATGAATGTGTTGACGGGAACAAATCTAGTTAATAAGCGACATGTCGTGACGCGGGGAGCACGCATTACTGGTAGGGGTGATGACGGCTGATGTACGATGATGCGTTGGGGTTTGGTGCTAACGATGTTTGGAGATTTGCTTGACGTTTTGCTGGATAGGACAGCTGTCACAAATACAGTTTGAAGATGAGCAACAAGAGGCCCCAGACACAGCTCGTTACGCCAATAAACAGAGGCACTTTGTAGTCTAGAAATCAGAATCGCATACCGTACCGGACAACCGAATTACTATGCTGGATAAATATCCCAATAGCAACGATCTCTATTATTGGTAACAAGTAGTTATAAATATCTTACATTGTACGTACAATGTTGTTTCTATTTCAAATATGAATTACAATGATAGAAATGTTCCAGAATATAAATATGTACAGTGAACAAAAGAATGTCACATTAAATTTTGAGACTTAATAATCTCAGAGAACGTTACATTCCATAATTTAAGTGCCTTATGTTTCATCCAAATAACGATTGAATACATGTAAAATAACTTATATATATATATATACATATATATTGCACGTAATGAGTGTGATACCATTAAAAATACATAATTTCTTTTCATATATTACTAAAGAAACTTATATGCTTAATTATGAAGTTTATGTATTATGTGTTGCATTTGTATATTTTTATCTATATTGTAACAGTACAACAAATCTAAATATTTATATATACAAAAACAAAGAAATCGAATAATAAAAAAAAGTAATAACAAAAATTATTCACACACCGACTCATACCAGTTCCAAATAAATCCATTAGTTGAAATCCAGTGTCTACTTGCATAGTTTGCAATTGGCAATAAATAACTAGATGGTACTCATACTTTTTAAAAGCACTACGTTTTTTTCTTCATTAAAATCAAAAGAATTGTTAAACTAAAGTTATCACTATAAGTGGTAATTCTCATTTCAGCAATAATATAAAAAAACTAACATAATACATAACTGTCAATATTTGCATAAATATGCATGTATAAAGAATCATATAAATCATTCCAAAGATTATAAAAAAATTGCACTGTTTAAATATTAACTGATAACATTGGGAAGTGTATATACTGTATCTTAAAATCTTATATCTAAAGAAATTTGAAAGACATTTATGATTCCTGATACAAACTTCATACGTTCTTCAATCTACTGATTTTTTACTATAACATGCAAATTTGTCAATAACATATCTACGTATAAATTTATATATGAACATTTTTTGCAATAACATTTAAACTGTTCTGAACTAGTTTTATTAAATATCCTCAAATATAATATATAATCATAAAAATAATTGTTACAAAAAATAAGTTACATTTATAAAGAACATTATTATTGCAAAAAAATAGTGACTAGATAAATATATATTTATCGCTTAAACACTGCGCGAGATAAATCAAAACGTTTGTAAATTACATACATAGTATAAACCGCAGCAGTTTGTATAATCATGGTCGATACAAAATTTTTCGAAAAACGCAATAATTTAACTTTTATGAAATTTTGTTTGGTAACATTGTCAATTGAAATGTACTTACAGCCATCGCCTGTGTCAAGTCTTGCTTGCAACTCTTTTATTTGCATTTCTTTGCGTTTTATCTCGTGTGTAAGCGTATCGAACCGCTGTCTAAAATCTCTCAACTCTCTGTAAACACATAAATAGAAAAATATTTACTCGTAGAATTAGAATTTTATACACGATTCATGTTTATGGTAATTACTTTTGAGCAGCAATTAAATCTGAACGTGTCTTGGTAAGCTCTTCAGATATTGCCTGCTTAGCTTGAATTTCGCTTTGCAAAGAACTTTGTAAATTCAAAAGTTCCATTTTATCAAGTTTCTGTGATCTACGATTTCTCCAGTTTTTATCCGCCATTGTGGAACCACTTCCTACACCTCCTACACCTCCAGAGTGTTTTAAAAACTCTAATTCTTCCGTCATTTTTGTAGCAAGTGCCTGAAATTAATGAATTACATAATTATAAAAGCTGCTACTGCTCAAAACTTTACATAAATTAAAAAAAAAAAAGAAAAACAAACCTGCAAATACCCCCTAGCATCTTTCTCATCAGATACCCATTGAATAATTTCCGTAATCTGAGCTTCCCACTGTGCAATAGCTTCTTTTTTATTTCTTAACTCTTCATATTCTTCTTCTAATTGACGTCTTTCACCTTGTATTCTATTAACACTATCGGTAAGAGTACTAAGTTCTAACATAAGTTTTTTGTTCTCTTCGACTAGCATAATTTTTTCTCTTTCATGACGTCTACTCAATTCATTGATAGTCTCCTCACTATCGGTAATGTTTTCCAATCTTGCAGCATCTAATTTCTCTTTCGTTAATTGAACTTCCCTTTCCAATAAATCCCTTCTTGTTTCAGTTTCGTGTAATTGTTCCTGAAGGCTGCGAATCTCAAGGTTGAACCTACTTTGTTGTTGATTCAAGTTTTCATTGTACTGAACTTCAAGTTTTTCGACTTCTGCTTTTAATCTATTAATTTCCTGCGTTGCTAATGCATGATTTGCACTCACATCATTTCCCATAGACCTTTGTCTAATTTTTTCCGTTTCTTCTTGCATCTGCTTACAATATTCTTCGCTACGCTCGCGTAATTTTCTTTCCTTACTTGTTTCCGCCATTGCTTCTTCTACTCGATTTTCAAGCTCTCTACGTAATTTCTCAGCCTTACGAATATCGTGTCGTAAACTATCAACCTTTTGCATTACAACCTCTAATTCCTCTTCTTTATCTCTAACCTGTCTGGACAACTTTTGCTTTTGTTGTCTTAATTCTGACAATTTGTCTGTGACTTCAGTATATTCTGCCATTGCAAGTTTGCGTTGGGTTAAAGCATCTTTTAATTCCTTATCTTGAAGTTTAAGTTTTTCTTGTGCATCCAATTTATCTTTAACAGCTTCTTCCTTCTCTAATCGAAGCGACCGTACTAATTTTTCTAATTCTCGTAATTTTGTGATATCACCGTTATCTAAGTTGCGTAATTCACGTGGAACTTCCATTGACTTTAATTGCGATTCTAACTCACAATTACGTTTAGTGAGCGTATTTATTTCATCTTGAAGTTTTCTTGTTGCATTATTGGAATCTGGTGATATTCCCGGCGAAGAATGACTCAAACTAAGCTGTTTCTTTAAATCCTCGAGCGTTTGCGTTAATTGCGCATTCTCTTTCTCGAGTATCTGTACGCGTTTGTCCTTTTGAGTAACAGCAGATAAACAACCCAAATCCGATATGCAACTGCCTTGAGTAAAACTAAAACCAACGAACGGCAAGTGAAGCGCAGAGAACGCAGAATTTGCTGCTGGCGGTACAGCATCAGAACTGCGAACATCTGTATCATCGACATCGAAGTTTGATGTATCAGTTGGCGAGGAAACTTCAGGAATGTAAGGTGCGGTACTGTCTCTAAGAGTTTCCCAATTTACTCCATCAAACCATGGGTGTTTCTGCGTTATTAAAAATGTATACAATTTATCTTTTAATTATAAATATTACAAGTTTTGTTAAGATAATAAAATATCAGATATTACCTTAAAATCATCAATTCCATTTTGACCTAATCTAAATTCTGAGCTACATATTAATTTTCTCATTAAATCCTTAGCTTCTTCAGAAACATCATACATATCATCTGTTGGAAAGTCAAAGCAATTCTGAAATTTAACAAAATGTTCATAAGTATGTAGATAATGTATATTACATCAAGTGAAACAATTTTATTACCTTATGGTTCATAATTTTCCCATAAGTTTCGACTAGAGATTCTGCATAAAAAGGTGTTTCTCCATACAACATTTCATACATACATACTCCTAAAGACCACCAATCACACTCAGGCCCGTATTGTCCCTGTCCATCTTCCATTGCCTATAATTCATAGAATAGAGATATCGATTAAAATTAATTAATTAAAATATAGATATAACGCATAACGAAACATAAAAGTGCGATTTTACCCTTAATATTTCTGGTGAAATATAGTCTGGTGTACCAACAGCAACATTACTTTGTACAGTCCCGTCTTCAAACAATCGTAAACAAGATCCAAAATCTGCTAATCTAATGTGTCCATTTGCGTCTAATAAAACATTATCAGGTTTAATATCGCGGTGTACATAACGTAAGTCATGTATGGACCCAATAGCTAGAACCATTTCAGCTATGTAAAAACGAGCCATATCTTCAGGAAGGCGATCCTCAAATTTGCTCAATAGTGTTAACAAATCTCCACCACAGTAATAATCCATGACCAAATACTACATGATTAATTCAAAAGAAATAACATGTTTTTACTCTTACAAGTGATAATAACTTCTATTACATATATATAAAAATAGTACCAAATTATTGTCATCTTGAAAGGCATAATGAAGATTTGTGATCCATCTACGATCACCGTACACCAGTACATCTCGTTCTTCTCTAAAGCATGCAGTCTCTGCACGCTTTAGCATCTCCCATTTGTTCAAAATTTTCATCGCAAATACCTTGTCCGAACCGCGCATTCTTACAACACATACTTCTCCAAATGCACCTCTGCCAATAACTTTTACTATCTCAAAATCTTCACGTGCCAATTGCAAACTCTTTATGCAAGCAGCCACAGGTTTTACTACAAAAATAAGAGATGATGTTAATCGGACCGATAACTAAATTATTACAGAAAACCTCAGATGTATACTGGTCCCTCGGTTTGCGCAGTCTTTTTTCCGTGTGGTTTGTTTTTAAACGAAATTTTGCTTGCCTCTGTAGAAATGGTGACCCGGTTTACATTCAAGAGCGGGTTTCGTTTTGTTCTTGAGCGCGTAAATGAAAACTTGCGTATAAAAGCGAGAGACCAATGTATTATATGTAATATATACCAAATTCAATAAAATCTGAGACAGTCTTCTCACGCCGTAAGGAAGAATTGCAACATTCATCATATAAGACAAGTAAAATATCAATGAGTGTCTCAATGGAAAATGTATGGCCAACTCTTCCCTCCCCTTGTGCAGGACCATCGATAAAAAGAGATTCTAACTGGCGTAACCTGCCTCCTATGCCTATTGAAAATAATTTTTATTTAAATTTTGGTTATATCTTGTAGAAAAATATTTATATGTATTTGGTAACATACCATTGATCGCAAGTCCTTTCGGCATAATATCAGGAGGAGGTTGATTATATTGGTGCTGCGATGAATCTGACATGTCTCTTTTTTGATAAGGTTGTCCCTTACCAAAATCTTTGGATATTACTTCTGTTGTCCTTAATAATATTATTTAATAATATTTCAAACCACCACATTATGATGTGATGAAAATCCTAAAATATTTTATATCATTATAACTTTTTCTATATGTACATACATACATACATACATACATATACAATCCAATTGAAATGAAGAAATTTCACTTTATAATTATAATCTATAACATTCAATTCAATCATTATACATTAATAACATGTAACTATAATTACATTATACGATATACTTAAATGCATTTAATTAAAAATAACATAACTGCATGAAGTTATATGATAATTATAAGTAAAATAACTTAATTTTTTAAAATTATCTTAAATATTTAAAAATATGAAAAAATATAATAAATAAAGCTGTATAATTGATAATTTACCTTAAGAAGATAATTTCCAATAGACATATCTAAATTGAAACACTTTCACTGTTTAAACATTAATATTGTTTACAACCGTGTAGCAGTCGTTTTCTGACCATGTTATTAACAAATTACCATCACGCGTTAAACTTTTCTTATACCCTTATGCAAAGAATGTCAAAAATCAATTCCCTTTAACTTTGCGTGGTATATATGGTCCACACGCCACTAGGTGTAAAACAATCGAGTTTCATTTAATTCATCATCGGCCATGGTGCCGGAATTACACACGTCGGAAATTACGTAACTGCTATAAAGATAGCCAAAATATTTGGCGAAGAAAACACGCAACAAGAGAAATACGTGTAAATAAAACGTACAGACAAAAATAGTGCAATGGGGTAGGGCACCGCATTCGCGATCAACGAATTCAACAAAATCACCAAGACAACTCCTATCGTAGAAGTAATTGGTATTCCATAGGAAAACTATACAGTACTTGTTTAATGTAATAACTGTTAGACAGAACTTAGATAAATGTTAAAGCCCATTGTCCCAATTTCTGGTTATAACCTCGTTGCGGCACTACACTCTCATTCCGATCAAATTTGTGACGTAAAATTCCTATCACATGCAAGAAGGATGTTTTGAGTGAAAGGCTTTTTCTTTGCCAATCCGGATCGCTTGTTCGAATGATTCAGGCATATCTGCCAAAACGACGCGCCTCGCTGTTATACTGATTTAATTGTTTATTATGCGCACCATTTGATTATCACAAAACATCTTGCATGGCCACCTCCAAACCCCCAACAATTTGGTTGACCCCCTGGCAGGCCCCATATAGAAAAAATATGGCAGTCCTACGTCATTGAAAGTACCCATGACAGTTTAGCATATAGATAGGTTCTAACTACCATATGAAAGGTGGAAAATGACAAAGCGAGTTTACAGTAACAGTCTCTCCATTCATCGATTTGATCACTTGAATTTTTATTAAATATTTGAAAAATAATTCAATTTATTATATGTACATACATTTGATTATTTTTAACAATGATAACATAGTGGTGTAGAACGTTGGCAAAGCAATGATGTCAATACAAATTTCTTAAAAACAAATTCTCTGAATCCTAAACAAATTGAAATAAAAACTTCTATTATTTAAGTATGAAATGCATAATTCTCACATGTAAATTTATAAGTAATTATTTTTATAAAATGTATTTGAAAATCAAATGATTTTAGTTCCTATTGTGTGATAATACTGTGATACAATTCTTAAATATACACACATATTATCAATCAGATTTCAATAAAATTACGCTTTATTATGTAGATTATAGGTTTATGATATAATTTTTGCTACAAAAATAAATTACAAGATATTATTTATAAATTTATTTATGTACACAATTATCAAAATACAAATTGTACGACAAATAAGGATCTGTATAAATTTTGGAGCGCTGCAATCGATGCAGAGTTGCCGATCATCTCCTGTATTTATTATACGACTTTTTGATTTTGATTACTTTTATTATGAAAAATTAAAGAAAAGACATTTAATGAATATTTAATAAACTTCGATCACTATTTGAACACAATTAATCTAATAATTATAATAATTCACACTCAGTACATTGTGGAATGTACGAGGAGGAGCTACTGTGTTACGCAGCTCTGCATGATGCCACCCGAAAAATATCTAATAAACACGAAGAATTCGTGTCTTATTGACTATCAACGTAACATTTTACCACTTGACGTAAGATATGAATTGTTTAATGGAAATACATCTACGGCTAAAAGATATAAATCCGTATTTCTTATTTTTACTCGGTAGCATGTATACGTGGCAACAGAGCAAAGTTGTTGAGTGCTCTGTCACTTCCTAGTCAAAAGAAATTCTTCAAGCACAAACAATAATATATTTACAGTGTTAAAATAGTGAAATACGGTGTTAATCTAAAATAGTGCTGTCAAATATTCCACTGACATATTTAACTGTCTGTCACGATATTGATAGAGAATCTTTCTGTGTGTATATTAACGTATCAGCAAGCGTCGGTTTATGTATTACATGTGCAACCTGTATTAAACTCTACGGTTACCGTTTATTGAGTGTATCTGAGAATAAATACGATTCAAAATTTGTTAAAAACATGTTGTACATTAATTAATTAATTAATCGAAGTGCATAAGAAAAATATACGCATACACCTTTGTATGAATGAATATGTAAACATATATATATGTATGTACACACACTTCTTTGCACGTATCTACGAAGGTGTTGGAATTTACAAATATTTCAAAAAGTCGATAAAAGCAAGAATCAATTATACCTGTAAGTTTTCATCTATTATATTTTTTATTTTTAAATTCAAGAATTATATTTTTATAGTATTTAGCATGTACAATTGTCATAACTAAATTTTTTTTTATATAAACATTACTTATAATGCAAACTGTAAGTGTGAATTTCTAAAATGTTTAATTTTTTTTTTCTCTATTATGTTAATACAGGTACGTTATTCCAGTTGAAATATTTATGGCTTCTATAAATACGACAAGCTAATGTTGACTAAATTTCATTTTAAACTTACACGGTATTTCGTCTCTTGGAGCATTTTATATATTATGAAGATAACCTGATGGAAAAACATCATAGACTATGAGGAGAAAGCATCAAGAATATTGCTACTAATGGTGCTTTGGCACTGTTATTACTGTCCTCCTAATAACACAATGGAGGAGCCAGCAAAGAAGAAACAACGTATTGAGAATAATGAAGTTGAAAGAGATACATTATCAGATATTGAGCAGCTACAGAATAGTTTGTTAGCGCAATGTTTATGTAACGTACCAGAAAGCAGTCTACGTAAACCGTTCACTAGTGCAACAGTGGAATCTGCTGATGGCACTTTTCGATCTTCGATATTATCAGAATGGGAACCTGATCAAACATTAGAATTTATAAGTGCTTTACAGCTTTTATTTGATTTAGCTATTAAACAAAACACTAGAGGCGTTATGTGCAGAAGAGTGGTAGATGTTTGTGATGCGCTGGCGCGAAACGAGCATGGGATTATAGATCAAATAATTGACCTATCTTCTACAACAAACAAATTTATATCATTTGCTGCTAGCAGAGTTCTTGCATCATTTTTTATTGTAACAAAGGAAAACATTGAAACAGCATGGTTAGAGAAACTAACTCAATCTTTGGTGAATACTCATTCTCCGAGTCAAATGCTTTTTACCTTAGATGTTGTAAAAAGAGTTGTAGAGCATAAGGACTGCGGTATGCATCCCCTTGAAGATACTGAAACTATGGTGACACCGTCGCACTGTAACACGATATCAGTTTCAGATGCAGAAAGTTTTGATAGTACACCTGTAAAAGCAATGTGTGTCAAAGCATTAGAATCCAAATGGACCATCCTAGTATCAAAATTTGATGCCATTCTTAGTTCGTATACACCTCAGCACGAGTCAGTTGTCATTACATTTCTTGACTTATGGGAGTCAATTATTTCTGTAAAAGCTAATTTATCTGTTATAGATACCAAACTTTTCTATTCTCAATTAGATAATTTGGTTGTACTATTAAATGCTAGTGTTCCTGGTGTCATTTGGAGACATCTTCTTGGATTATTTAACGAAGTACTCTGTTATGGAAGTACTTTAGCATTGCAAGATATACTTCCAGATGAACCTTGTTCTCTTGCACACTTAATTGTACGTGCGGTAAAAGATTGGAGATTATTAGATGCCTTACCATACAGGCATGGTTCTGGAAGATTTGGAGGAGGTTCCGGTGAAGGAGATCGACCCCTTCTACAAAAAATTGTGCTTTTAGTTTTAAAAAGTGTTGCTGTGACAGTTAAAGAGACACGTAGCGATTCCAGTGATTCTTCGTTGGGTTCAGAAGCAGAAGATCTTGATGCTGATATGGCAGTTATCGAGAGGAGTATAAGAGAAGTTTTAAGGCAGCTCGACCAATGTGTTAAAACATTAATGCCATTCCATCCTGAAATGCCTTTGTCGCAATGGGTTGTGCAGATGTTTCATGATCAAGACGATTTTTTGATCGAAGGCATGGTATGCTGTTTGGATGTAGCAGTTGGTTTGTTTTACAGAGGACCTCCACAGAATGATCTTGGTCATATGCTTAGTCCCACTTTAACTTTTATACAATTTATACACGCGGTATCACATGATCCAGATGTTCTGTTAGATTTACTTGTTAGTAATGAAACCTGTTTCTTATTATACTTATTGAGATTCTTGAAATATGTTAAAAGAAATTGGACAGAGTTCGTCTCATGTTGTGGAAGAGAATTAGACGATACCATGACAATATTAATAAGACTTCGTTTAGCAATTGACAGATTAGTATCTAAAGCTTTGTTTCCTTATAACATAAACCCAGTTCTACGTTTGTTAGAAAAATGTGAGTCCTTCTATGAAGGCAATATAGAAAACTAATTATTTTGGTTGTATCATGAGATTTGAAATTCAATTCATTAGATTAATGTACAAACTGTAAGAATAAAAATATTTCACATCTGGCTTATTTTACCAGCCAGAAAATAATACTGTATAGCATTGTTAACTTCGTTTTGATAAACGACTGAATTACACTATTTTCGTGTGTAGTACTGAATGCCTAAATTAATATTAGAGGATTCAGAAAAAAAAGCAATTTTATTTATTATATTTAGCAAAATTTTATTCATTCAGAAGTATTGTTGAATTTTTATCCAAGAGTAATGTATTGCATTTCATAGTTGAAGTATAAATGGGTTAAAGTAGTACAAAGATTAGCTAAAATTATATGCTTCAAAATGAAACTGCACTTCTATGGTGCTATGAGAACGTATTTGCCAAAGCACCATTGGAAATAAATTTAAATGTATACTATTAGAATAATATTTATATGTATACATAAACACTAAATGTACAATTTGCCAGTCAAATAGAATTGTGTAAGCTGGATTCTGATGTACACCATTTTATGTACTAAATGCTTTTGTACATTATATTAAATTTGTAATTAAATTTATAAAAATATATTTGATCACTTTCCAAAAGCTTTTATACAGGTAGTTAAAAAAAAACATACATGTAGAAAAAATTAAAAAATTTTTAATTGTAAAAGTGCAGAATATTGGAGTTAAACAACTCAGTACATTAAATTATAACATTGGCTTTTAAGTTTCATACTAGATGCATTAATAAAAAAAGTATAATTTCGCTCGTCTGTTCCTTAACTGACAATTTTAGGATAATTTTAAGTTTTTCTATTATGTCCATGTAATTAAAGACAATTGTAAAAATCAATAACATTAAAATCAAACATTCTGTCATATTGGTATGATTGTATAAATTACAATATTGTAAAATATTGGAGGTATGTAAATGTAAAGCTACTGGCAATTAGATAAGTTGCTGACATTTGAATTTATGCCAGTATTAATAAATTATTAGATTTGAATGGCAATAATTGCTTCTAAATTAATGTTAAGAACAATATTTGCCATGATTATTTTGATATTGTTAACAAATTTAAAATATTTGTATATATCAATTGTAATATTAACTATTCATATGTTAAGATTAACTTTGTAAGTATGATATATGTAATACACTAAAAATCTACATATTTTTACTTTTATAATCATGGAGTCATTTTTTTATTTCCCCTATTGTAATTATTCTAACAATAGTTGCAAATTATAATGTTAGAATAATGTTATTGGTATTATATCAAATATTCTGTAAAGTCGGTATGACATTCGTGCCTGTTTTACCATACCTATGCATGGTGCATCTACTTTATCGACTATAGCAGAGTGGATCTGAATGGATCACTAAATATGCACGCTTGCAACACGAAGTCTTCCCGACTTCCCGGTGTATGTAATACGTGTATTATTCATATATTTTTAGATTCATGGATTATTCCATTTATTACCACCAATGTAAACACGTGCCACCCCTTTAAAGTGGGAAGTCCATATTCTTTTTGTAAATTAGAAAATCATGCTCTAACATTTTGCGTAAAATTACATTTATTTCTGAAAAATTTCATTAAAAATCTAACATAAATAGTGCCTGTTAATTTTGTTCCTTTTACGCTCATATTTATTACTATAATTCTAAGATGATAAACAAAACATTGATGTAAAAAAACGATGTAAGTTTCATGGAAATTATAGTAAGAAAGAAACGTAAAATCCTTTCAAACTTTATTTAAAAAAATGTTAGTATTGTGTATTGTACAGAGTGATCTTCAAGATGCACATCTAAAGAGCTTTTTTTGACAATATTACACTACGAAATTTTATTTATATTGTGAATCATTTAAATTAAAAAATTTAAGAAATAATATTATTACACTATTATGACAACGTATAATCTAAGCAATTTATGGCACTTCCAATGATATATAATTTAAATTGAAAGAAAAAGTATAATTAACAAAATGGAAGTGTGGTGGTTTTCTCGTGTGGTAGCTCATTATCCTTATAGCATTTTGACAGCAATATTCATATTTTCTTCAACATGCTTAATTGTTCCTTTGGCTGTCAAAAAGTTCCCAGATTTCTCTGATCCGCAACTAGTAAGTAAATATAAATAACATGCAAGAAGTACATGTACATATTCTTTATTACTTTATATTTTCTTTATTTTGTTAAGGGCTTTGAAGCAAGAGGCACTATGTTAGCACAACGACTGATTACTTGGCAAAATTTATTGGAAGCAAGTAAACCAAGAGGACAATTGATTGATAATCCTTTAGAATATTATTATTATGTACAGCAACTAAATCAACAGGTACTTCTATTAGGGATTACATGTCAGTATATTATATTAATTGTGTATATAATATGTTGTTAAAAATATTGTAGTTATATCTTGTCATTATTTTATTCACAACTGATATAATAACGATATTTTAGAATTTACAGAACCCAGTTAACATACAGAATCATACTTGGATTAACCAAGGTATTGTTAGAAAGAAACCTAAGAATAAAAGGAAAGGAGGGAAGAAATATCTAAAAGAAATAACTGATAACAAACAGAAAACAGATGAAGGCACAGTTAAGGACAAATGGGAAGAGCTGATGGAATTAAAAAATAAAAATAGATTAGATATAGTAAAAGAATACAAAAATGAAGATTATGTTGACAGTGAGAATTTTTTTTGCAATCTACCTTCTTCTGCCTATGCAAGGGTGGTTATTGGTAGAGATTCTAAAGACACAAATTTATGGTCAATGGAAGGTGTATTAGCACAATGCCATATTGATGCAGAGATTCGTTTAAATTCTCACTTTCCATCTTTATGTCAAATGCAAGGGGAACATAACAATGTGGCAGAGAAGTGTTGCAGAAGTTGGTCACCAGCAAATTATGTTGCATTTTTATCTAATAGAAGTTCCTGCTTAGGAGTAACAGAAAATGATCTGAATCGTGTAGAAATTCTATTACAAAGATGTTCTTATTTTTATCAAAATCATCATTTAACATCGAATTGTGCAGAAGATTTAAATTGTCAGAGGCATGTCCCAGCTGAATGTTATGCACATAATGCAGTTTACCATTTACTGCATTATTTATTAGATACTGACTTTGTTTTAAAGCATGTAAGTATATTGATGAAAAACATTATTACAAGATAATATATAAAATGTTTACTAATATAAAGTTCTGATGTTCCTATTACAGAAACAAGACTCTCAGAATCAATTAAACTCAACATTGAAATATGCAATGATATTTTTGCCAATAGCTGCAAGTTCAGCCACTTTAGATTTTTATAAAGAATTAAACAATGGTGGCTTATCTTATGGAAAATTTTGTGTTAAAGGAATGCAATTAGGTTTAAAAAGTACATTGTTTGATCAATTGTTGGTATCAGATTCTATTCTGTTGCTTACTGGTTTTGCCTTTGTAACAATTTGCATATGGGCATATACTAGTTCATTGTTGTTAACTGTCACAACAATTATTGCAGTAATTTTTAGTCTTGGCATTTCATATGCTTTGTACACTTTGGTTTTACATGTTAAGTTTTTCCCATTCATGAATTTATTAGCAATCATTGTTGCAGTAGGTAAGAATCTATAAAGTAATTAAAAATATAATTTATGATAATAAAATATAAAAAAATATATAATTTTATTTATTTTAAGGAATAGGCGCAGACGATGCATTTATATATTGTAAAATTTGGGAGAAAGGAAAAGGACAAAAGATATCAAACAATGGATTAGTTAAATTAGTACAAGAAACTATGAAACATGCTGTTCCATCTATGTTTGTTACGTCTCTAACTACTGCAGTAGCATTTTTCGCATCAATTGTTAGTAACGTTACTGCTATCAATTGCTTCAGGTATAAATTTGAATCAATAGTAAAATAATTACAAACATTTACTATAAATATAATATGTTACTAATTACATAAACTTTTAGTTTATTTTCAGGAATGACTATTATCGCTAATTTCTTTTTGATGATTACTTGGCTACCAGCATGTGTAATTGTGTCAGAACGATTTAGATTAGGCGCTTTATCTCCTGCACATTTTATAACTCGTAAAATTATCCGACCTTCACGATTATTTAAAGATAAAATAACAAACAATTTTAACGCTACTCTTACAAAAACAGTTATTAATTTTCGATGGTGCTGGCTACTAAGTTTGAGTATCATAGCAATAATATGTTGCATCATTGTTTTTCAATATCCAGGCTTACAATTGCCAGATAGTGTTGATTTCCAATTATTTGATAGTTCTCATCCGTTCGAAAAATATGATTTAATATATTCCCGAAAATTCTGGTTTGAAAAGCACGAATCAGTAAGTATAAAAAGATTTGAAAAATCGTTTGACAACATTTTTCAAAAATTAATAAAGAAAATTTATAATTTCAGGTTGATAACGGAGATGTATTGCCATTAAGATTTGTATGGGGTATAAAACCAATTGACAATGGTAATTATCTCGATCCTGACTTAATTGGTACACCAGAGTGGGACGAATCTTTTGATGTATCTCATCCAGAGTCCCAATTATGGCTTGAAAAATTCTGTCATAATTTAAGAGCTCAACCTTTCTACCGTGAGACCTTAGGACCATTACTTCCTAATTGTTTCATCGAATCGTTAAATAATTGGATGCGGAGACGTTGCGAAGATCCTATTGATTCTCGTATTAATTATATGCCATGTTGTGAGAAAAGTAGATTTCCATATGATTCTACCGTTTTACAACGATGCGCGGCCGAAGCTAATGCAGAATTATATCGTACACCTTCGCACTTGTGGGTTCGTAATGGTGTCTCTGCTGGATTAAAATTTTTAAACGAACCAGTTCTCACCCGATTACAAGTATCGAATGAAACGAATTTGGTAACAATGCCAACGCCAAAAATTAAAGCTTTGGTCGTCGAATACGACAGTGTATATAACTATAGTCTTTCATTTTCAAGTATGGATCAATTTTTTCATCAGGTACACATTCTGCTATGTTACAATAGTAATTAAAAGTATAAAATTAATAAAGCATCCATTTAAAAAAATTAAAAAATGTTAATAGGTTGAAAATTGGATGCAAGATCAATTAAAAAGCGCTCCAATTGGGATGCGTGGCGGATGGTTTGTTAGTAGATTGGAGTTCTATGAATTACAACGAACATTGTACGAAGGTACACTTTGGGCAATGGGGGTTTCGTTAACCCTAGCTCTTATAGTATTAGCATTTGTAACATTCAATCCTCTTATAAGTTTATACGCGATTGTAACAATTGGCGCCGCAATTATAGTAACAATTGCTGGCTTAATTCTTCTTGGTTGGAAACTAAACGTTTTAGAAAGTGTTGCAGTATCTACAGCTATAGGTACATATCAATATATGTATAATTTAATATTTTGTTAATTGTATAATGACATTTATATTGTTTTTAGGTTTGGCTGTAGATTTTAGCTTGCACTATGTAGTAAGTTATAGGACATGTGTTTCTAAAGAACGAGAGGATAGAGTTAAAACAGCTCTTACACAAATGGGTGGTCCAACTTTAATGGCCTCCCTTACAAGTGGTGCTGCTGGTGCTCTTATGTTACCTTCCTGTGTACTAGCTTATATACAAATTGGTATGTTTTTGTTACTTGTGATGGGTATAAGCTGGATATACGCTACCTTTTTTCTATGCCCAGTATTAGCAATAATAGGTCCGTCATCTCAGTTTGCTCAGTTTCAGTACCCCAGGTGAATGACTTTGTTTTCAATGTACAATCCTGTGTTGTAAATAGAATCTTTCAGAAATTAACTTGATTATAATAATTGTAGATTAAATCTGTTACGGAATTATTTTGGTAAAAGAGAATCTGGAAATGTGCCTGATGCAAATACAGATAATAACAGAACTAGAAGAAAGATTAAGGGAAGAGGAATGTGGTCAGAATCTACGTTAAGTACATCTAGTACAGTATGTCAATTTCACTGTAACGAAATAGAAACTTTTACTACAAGACAACCACATTCACCATCGTTACCTCCATCTCCAACATCAGCGTTACTTCAATAAAGAGAAGGTCAAGTAATAAAATATATTTTAAATGAGAAATAACTATAATACGATATATGCTTCTGTAAATGTTAAATTGAAAAATTTACTTTTTTATATATAACTTATATTCTATATAGAGCTATGATCATATGCGATTAATGTGTCATTGGCTGTGTCGAAATAGTTTAAGATAATTATTTGTATATTTATTATTAACATTCATTGGGCTTCCTATGTCAGTTATGCCAGATACATGTATGTACATGTTTATCCATTGTGATACGAGCGAGGCTTAAAGTGCCAAGTATATCGCAAATTCTTTTATATTTTATAATATCTTTGACTTTCAGTTTTTTAGAAGGTTGTAAACTGTATTCTGTGTTTATGACACATATTATCGACAAAGTATTATACTATTAGACTTGCATTTATATATTTATAAATGCATTGTAGCTTATTTTTTATAAACAATTCTTGTTTTTTACTAAGATTTTTGTATTGTTATACTCATATTTAGTTCGATATAAAGATAGGTACTTTTTAAAATATGTAGGATAATGAAATCAATTACTCATTTATTACCAACAATATTATTTTATTATATTTTATATGTTAAAGTAAAATCTTGTAGAAAGCACAAGATTTTGCTCTGCATTTAGAACAAAACTATTTATGTAAGTGAATATATTTATTTTAGTGTAGATTTACAAATTTAAAAAAAATCAAATACTATATGTAAACAGGTCTACAGTTTTCAGACACGATGATTCCTTTCATTTCATTGAACAACTTTAAGTTTTGAAATTCATAAAAAAATGTGTGCGTGTATGTGATCTTAATTAAATATAAAATAAATAATGAGGTGTACTGTTGTATGTAGTTTTGTTTAGGATTATATTTATAAATTATATGAGGTACACATTGAAAGAAGACTGACAAATTTTTATAATTTTCATCAGCAGATTTTCTAGGCATTTGAAAACATTTTTCTTTCTAGTTTGGTTAAAATTTTATTTATTACTTACACTTTATTTATAATAGTTTGGAATTATTTCTAAATAGACTTTAGTTAATTACGTTAATTTCTTTTAAATTAACAATTTATCCTATTTACTATTTTTTTATTATTTAATAATGCATTGGTAATACTTAAGAAAAATTAATGATTTATAAATAATTGTAATATTAAAAGTTATTACTAGTAATATTGAATGAGGTTCAGCCTTCACAAGTATTTCATTATTTAAAAAAAACAAAGGTACAAATTCATAATTTATGTAGTACAACTTCATGCTTTCAGAGAAATAAGAATCTATGATGTTAAATTGAGTCTTATTAGAAGTATCAATATAATATATCATGCCTTGGCGATCTTGAATACATTTATATATGTATCTGTATATGTTATACGTACATTATAATATAGTGAGCTTGTTATGTATGTTAAATAACTATTTCATGTTAATCCGTATATTTATTAATTGTTTTATCCAGTAAAATCTATGATAAACATGTAAATCTACAGTATAAAGTATCCTAACATCCAGCATCTCTAACATTCAGTATCTCTAACATCCAGCATCTCTAACATCCCTGCATTACTTACATCCCTACATTCTTTTTATCCCTACATTCTTTTCATCCCTACATTCTTTTCATTCCTACATTCTTCTTATCCCTACATCCTCTTCAGCCCTACATTCTTTTCATCCCTACATTCTCTTCATCCCTGCATTCTCTTTATCTCTACATTCTTTTCATCCCTACATTCCTTACATTTCTGCATCCCTTATAATAAATATATTATAAAGACGGCTTCGAGTAAACATAAGTTAGTTCCTTTTTTCGCCGCCAGAGGGCGCTGATTCGACATCGAAATTTTTAGTTCACATTTCTGCCGCTAGGTGACGCTGTTTTTTCAAAATTTTCGCGAAATTCTCGAAAAAATAGCGTCCCTTTACTTACCTTTACTCGAAGCAGTCTTTATAATATATTTATTATAAGGGATGCAGAGATGTAAGGAATGTAGGGATGAAAAGAATGTTGGGATTTAAGGGATGAAGAGGTGTAAGGAATGTTGGGATGAAAGGAATGTAGGGATGTAAGGGATGGAGAGATGTAACGGAACGAGGGATATAACGGAATTCCGTAGGGGGCCGGGGCTGGGGCCCCGGTCTCCACTACACGCGGCCCGAGGAGTGCCGGCATCGGGTGTGGCCCCTGATGTCGGCGGAGTTTGGCACATGGCGGAGGGTCAAAGGACCCTCCTTACCGCCCTAGTGCAGGCCGCCGTGGTGGTTTTAGTGGGTAAAAATCCAACACTACCTCCGGCCCCTCCCCAGGGGGGTTGAAGGTGTCTTTCTGAAGATTTCCACCACGTTAAAAAAAAAAAAAAAAATAACGCAAAGGGTATTTAAGGAATGCTGGGATGGAAGGAATGCAGGGATGGAAGGGATACTGAGATGGCCTTGGCCTATAATGAGGGACAAAATTATATAAATAACTGGAAAAAGTAAAATAGATGGGGTCCTCGGCTGAGATCCAGAAGAGAGATATAATCATAAATGTTATTCCCCTTCGATGAGCTTATTTAATAAGCAAAAAAAAATAAATGAAATAAATTAAATAAACTCTAGAAAAAAATTGTACTGGTTGTGCCCTCTTCATACGGACCTGATATCATACTGGGGTAGTAAGGACCCCTGAATGCCCGTGACTATCTTTGCATACCAATAATTTAGCATGCGGGGTGCCAGGGACCCCAAAGCACCAGTGAGTATCTCTGCATACCGACATATCATCTTGGGGTGTCAGAAACCCCGAAGCACCGGTGACACCGTTTGCATAGCGACATTTTGGCATGCGGGGTGTCAGGGACCCCGAAGCACCGTTGACACTCTTTGTTCACCGACACTACGGCATTCGGGGTATCTGAGACCCCGAGATACCGGTGACGATGCATACCAATATTATGCCACCGGGGTGTCAGGGACCCCAAGCAAATAGCGAAATATAAGACCTAAAAACGAACAAATCGTGAAATTCACTTGTTCGGAATAGTGATGGGTTTGACCGGATCTAGTGAAATATAAGAACGAAAAACGAACAAATCGTGAAACTCATTTGTTCGGAATAGTGATGGGTTTGACCGGTCTAGCGAAATATAAGACCGAAAAACGAACAAATCGTGAAACTCACTTGTTCGAGGTAGTGATGGGTACGACCGGATCTGTAGCGCATGCGCACTACAATTATTTATTATAAAACAAACTTATAAATAATTAAGAAATTATTCACTCACAAACAATGAAAATGATATATTTGTAAATCACAAACGATTTCCAATCATTACAGTTATCACTCATTACAAAATCTGTTTATTATAAATAATTACTAAAAAGTTTCGGCTCACATCATGATTGAAATAAAATTACTAATTACAAAAGAACCAATTTGTCACAAACGTTAGAAATAGTCTCACAATAAATCACAAACGATTTACAAACGAAATACACTAAGAAAAATTAAAAATAATCATTTTATTATTCCTTCCGCCTAGCTTCATTATGTATGTATGTACATAGGTCCCTGATTGTGCCCTCTTCATACGGTCCTGATTTCATCCAGGGGTATCAGGGACCCCGAAACACCGATGACGCTCTTTGGATACCGACTTAATGTCATCATGGGGTGTCTGGGACCCCATGCGTCATGACCCTTCGAAAACAAAGGCAAGTCCAGTCTTTCGCCTCTGTAGTTAGTGGTGTAAGGTTAGATATGATGTTTACAAATATTTAATAACAAATTTAAGAACATACTTATATAATTGTATAAATATATTGTAGAAAAATAAAATATTGTTTCTTTATATATGTATTAAGTAATACAAACAGAAATCATGGGAAAAGAGAGTGAATCTGATACCTCAAAGAAGAGAAGAAAATCAGTCAGTGGAAATTCTGGAGTATCTCTTAAAGATGGAGATATGTATAAGGTGAATTAATACAATAAAATTCCATTATTATAATCACAGATACTGTTATTAATGGACTATTGTTATCATAATTACATGAATGCATGACAAGAATTAAAAGAAAATACATAAATAGATCTTTCTGTGAAGTGTACCCTTTATATTTTCAAAATATATTGTTGCAGTGGATGAGGATTATAATTATCGTAATTGTTTGTAATAAATTAAGTTTAATAATGAACATTTTTTCTCTTGTGTTTAATATCATCAACTGCTTACTGTCCTGAAACATTGCAAGTTCCAAATTGAACATAATAAGCAGATTCTACTGCATTACAATAAACTTTTGTGAAATATTGAGTTAAATATATTTTTTATTTAGGCTATAATAAGTTATGAGGAAAAGGAAGCTATGGAACGTTTACCAGAGAACGACTCAGAAAACTTTTTATCAACTTGTGACAGTATACGTAAAGCGATGAATAAAATAGCAAAGTTGAAAAGCTCCAATGATCCAAGTGTCTGTATTTTTAATATTGCATTCTTTAAACATTACATCAGCTTTTTATTAATGGAAATTGTGTTTTATGTAGACCAAAGATGAAATACATGAGCTTCAAGTTCAAACGTCATTAGCATTTATTGAATTGAAGAAATTAAATAGAATGGAAAAATTTCGTACAAAGTTTGCAAGAGATTCTCTTGTATCTTCGAAGAGCAGTGTCGACAGTAGGCATTTACATTTACAAAATTTGTTATATGAAGTGATGCATTTGAAAAAGGAAGTTATTAAATGTCTACAATTTAAGTAAGTATATCTTATTCTAATTTTAATATAATAATCATAATGTATTAATGAACATCCTTTGATATGTAGATCTAAAGATGAGTTAATACAACTGGTTTCAGAAGAAGAATTTTATAAAGAAGCACCTGAAAGTATTTCTAGACGGGTATGATGGAGATTGAAACTAATATTTAATGATTGTATAGTATTCATTGATGTAACTAATGAGTAAAGTTCAGGGTGGACCTGCCCCTTCTCTAAAATGTGGATCAGCTGTTAGGTCTCCAAGCTTTATTAACAGTGTCAAGTATTTAATATCTTGCATTGTGCAAAATTTTACGAGAAAATCTTGGAATTTGAGAATTTTTAAATATTAGCATATCAGAATTTTAGAACCTTTTTGGAGGGGCACCACTCTGGCCTTTACCTAGTTACACTAAAAAGAGCATTATAAACAGTAATGTCTCTAATATAAAATAATACATTTAGGATATAACAGTAAACAATCCTCATCAATTGAGATTAGCACGTTTAGAATGGGAATTAACACAAAGGAAACAGTTAGCTGCATTATGTGATGAATTGTCGGAAAATAAGAAAGCAGTAGCGTTAAGTATAGATTCTAAGCAAACCAGGCTTGATAATCTTGCACCACAACTTCGTTCAATACTAGAAGTAAGTGTCATTATTTATACTTGTAATTATAATTTAGTGGTAATAAATTGAAATCTAAGCTATTTTTCTTTTAGGCAAGTAAGCCGCTACAAGAAAGTCTTGGTTTGCCATTGGATAAAATTAGACAAGAACATTACAAAGCAACGTTACTTCCTTCACCATTATATGTTCTTTATGCAAAAGCATCTGCATACAGAGACGCATATGGTATACTTTGTATCAGTGATGGGCGACTGTGCCCGGAAGTACAAGTGATGTGTACAGGCGGGCACTGATGAATAATTAATTTCTTAACTTAACAATTTTTATATTTCTAAATTTCCAAACTTCTATAATTTTAAATTTGAAAATTCAATATTTACTTGTGTTTCACAACTTATTACAGCACGTACCGTGCACGCCGGTGTTCATGAGCTCTTCAGTGGGTACTTGATCTGCCCATCATTGCTTTATACTATTAAAACGTGTTACGTTCTAAGCCATGTTTCTATATAAATTTTCTCCACAGATAACTCTATAACGGTAAAAGTGGAAGGTGACGAAGAAGAAGCAAAGCGTGCAAATAATCAAGACGGTTTGCAAGAATCTGACTCTGATCCTGAAAATGTCTCTGAGAATATTATCGAAGAAACTCCTGTGCATAAAAAGCGACATCATAGGTTGTCCAGAGAAGCCAGACAGGAAGAAAAAAGGACTAAACTAGTTCAGAGACATCCTTTGCACGTAAAAATTGTTATTAAACTGAAAAGTCAGTATCGCAAAAAAATTATTAATCCTAATAAAATGAAATATTTTTAAATATTAGATTTATTTTCAGATGAAACAAAGCTTACGTTACAGTTCTTTTATATGATGGTTTTGAAAGTTGTGACTGTAGAATCAAAATTGAAAACTGAAGGAGTTGGGAGTACCAATACCGGGTACATAATTATTAATACAGTGTAATTCATTTATTATGATCGCTTTGGGACTTGCAATCTTTGAGAACAATAATCGGCTAATAACATTAAACAGAGGATAATTGATAACATTATTTGTGATTATAATAACCGGATTCCACTGTAAAAGTATTTTTTATTTCATTTGAGCTTTTAAATCAATTTATTTTAATAATAGGGATATGTTGGTGTCAGAATCAATTTTACGTGAATTGTATCCAAGAGATTTGGGATTAGAAAGTCCAAATCCTGCTAACTGTTATCAATTAGGTCGGCATAACTTAGGACAGTTTGCATCACTTGGATTAGGAATTCCATATAAATGGGCGCAACGGATGGCAGGATTGCATTTCATTTCGCCCGATTCACGTGAACAAGTGGTAAGAAATTTTCTATGTAACCATTAGCGTAACTAGGATTTTGTCTAGGGTGAACCAGATTCCTTAGTGTTATTAACAGTGTCACGTATTTAACATGTTTGGCAAGCACATGCTGGTTCTCACTTAGTTATGTCAATACTACACATATATTTCATTGATAAATACTCTAAATGATAATATTATACAGCCTACAAGTTCTGAATTAATACAAGACAACGTCGAAAGCGTACTGAGAGAAATTAAAAGACGTGTGAAAGCAAGATTAGAGTTGTGTACAGAGATTCGACAACTAGAATCTGGAAATTTACCACCCTATAGTACTACTAATGATGTACCACAGAAACTTAGTACAATTTTACAAAAATTCACAACAATCTCCTGGAATAATTATTCTAATTCCATTAATCGTGCTCTCGAACAACAGGGATTAGTATCTTCATTGGATATGTTTTATGAAGCTGTACTTCGCAGAGGAAGTAGTAAGTAACAAAAATATTATAAAATTATCTCATTAACCCTTTACCTACTAGAAACTTATTAATAGGTTTTTCGACGCTATGTTGACAAAAAACCAATTAATAATCTTTTAATTATCACACATTCATAATGATAGATTAATAAAACTGAAAACTTTTTTCTGTACCCAATTTTCTTTTAGATGAATTAATAACAAAAATAGCCATAAAAGCAGATTACCCAAAAATAGCCCCAGTCTTTAGTATAAACATGAATTCAACACTACCAGTACATGGAGATATTTTGAGAGATATGGAAAGGGAAGTAAATGTTATGTGGACAAAATCACCAACACTGTCTGCACAACTTCAGCGATTAAGAGCCTGTTTTGATATTTATTTGGAAACAGAAAATATCGTATCAAAAGAGAAAATATTTTTCCATGCTGTTAAAGGTCGCACTAGAGCTAGACCGTATAAATATTTAGAATTAGGTGGTGGAATTTTTATTCACCGTTAATATGATTTCGTACAAATCAATATATATAAATAAATACACTTTTATTGAAATGTATCAGTTTCTAAACATAGACACTAGAATATATGAAGCATGAACACTAAATTGACCGTAAGACGCCTGAATACTTGCTGTGCATGTCTGATATAGACGAAGCTCAAAGCTGCGCTAAGGTACAAGAGAAAAACCACTCCATCATATCAACCACTTTCCTCTAATGTCGAATTAATTGTTGTACGAATTAATTGATAGTGGGAACACAGAATATCTGATGATGGGGACCGTGCAGGAGCTGGCGCAGAGGCACTTTGCCATCTATTACTTAGCCTATTTAAATCAGAGGTGAAACAATGGGATACAATACTGGTATATTGGAGACCGCTGTAATGTATCCCTGTAATTTATGTGTCAATTTCTCATTCTCTGCAGATAATTTGTTACTTTTCTTTTTTAATAAAATATTATCTACTTTAATGTAATTATATTGTTCCCAAAATTTATTGATTTTGTAGTACGATTTAGGTAACTGAAATATTTTATGTATTTTAAAATGCTATTTGGATAATTCAATTTGACGCAATTTCAAAATTTAAAATTTTCTGAATTCCTAAATTCCAGATATAAATTCCAAAAATACGAAAAGCATTAAACGCTATTAAACATTTAACACTTACATTATTGTCAAAAAATTCAGTAGGTATTGCATCCTGTGTAAAATACCTTTTTGTATTAAAAGATGTTGGTTCTAATACAGAACAGATTTTAACCATTTCCAGGACCATAGAACTCTTTTCCATGATTTGCTGTAAATACTGTAAATCGAGAAACAAAAGAAATATTACTAACTCTTCATAGCATAACGTTATGGGATAAATGAAAAAAGAAATTGAAATACGGAAAATTCACATCTTTTGAAATAATGATAATTTTTCAAAAATTTTGTTACATTTTCTGATTTTGTGTTTGTCAAGGATATTCATTCATTCTTCAATATAACATCTTAACTAGATAATAATAAATAAAATACATATAATAAGAAACTAGAAGTTTCATTTTGTTGAAAACAATATAATTCTTTTACCTTCAAAATTTCATTGCTGGTAATAATTAATTTTTTCCTTTTCGAAGAATCAATAATCTGCATTATAACAATCTTTTGTTTAATATCTTTGAATTTTTTGTTTATATCTGTTGCTTGTGCTTTAAGTATTTCTATGTGACTATTTCTTTTCATACGCGTTATCGCTATATTGGATTTCAAATTTTCAATGGCATTCTGTAATTGCAAACATGTTTTTGGATATTGTAATATTAACATTTGATCAATATTGTCTTGTTCTTTTAAATACTCATATTGTTTATTTTTGCTCTTAGTTATTCGTTCATATTCATCTATCATTTTACAAAGACTCTCCCACAGATTTTCAATTTTAAAAAAAGAACAATTCACAAGATCTGATGTTAAGTCTTCCTTCTATAATTGAATAAATTCATTTTAACTATCTATAAATTTTTATGCTAATATTATATTAATATTATTACCAAGTATGCTATGTTAAGAATGTTCACAGCATTTTTTATTTTCTTTGTAGATTGTTTTTCATTTAAACTGATAATCTTCTTCTGTATGATATTATAAATTTCTTTACAATTTTCTTTCAAATAATTTTTCAATTCATTTAGTTCAATGATATTGTTACATTCAATATTATTCAAATTGTACATATCATGTAATATTTTTAATTTCTCTTTGTATTTCCCTGTATCATACGAAGATAAATAAAATTATGACTAAATTATAGATTCTAGAAATATTTTTATAAATACCAATTATATTATTGATTAACATAATATGAGACTCTTGGAGCTTTCTATGGTCTGCATCAGCTGTTTTTAATTCCTTATCTAAACAAGATATTGTTTCATTTTTTATCTTTAATGCTCTTTCAAAAGTTTCAGAAACATGTTTTATATCTTCATAGAATTCTGTACATTTTATTTGTCGCAGAATGTATCTCCATTTTTCATTGATTTTTGCATCGTTCAGTTTGAAAAATACTCCTTCACGTTTTAGCTTATTCTGTTAATCAGTTATATGATATTAGTTATTTATCAATATTTTGTTATATGAAATATAGTCTCTTACTTTGGTGAAAATAGCTATCAATTGCTGTTTACGCCTTTTTGCTTCTAATTCAAATTCAACACGATGTTGCATGTAACGTGCACGTTCTTCTTCATTCATTCGAGCAAATTTGTTACCTTTACCCTTCTTTCTCTTTATCATTTTTATATGACTTTGTTATTTCAGCACGAAATAATAATATTCAATGTATTTATTGTTTAAGATACACTTGTAACAGAAGAACAAGGGATAACAATGTATAAAAGTGATTGCATGTTTGATCAATATGTATAGCACATGATGAAAGTTTAAGAATTCAGATTTCATGGTTTTAAAATTAAAACGTCAATGTTTTAAGATGACAGAATTAAAATCTTTCCAATTTTTAAGATTTAAAATTTAAATTTCGATTTACAAATTCAAATTTCAAAGTTTCCAATTTAAATTAAAAAATTGCAAAACTAAATGCTTACTCGAATCAGAGAGCAAATAATATGTCTATGTGTGTATATGTGTATATAGTATATTAATATTATATTTATTCCGAATGATTTTTATACAAAGTAAAGCACATGTCTATTTTGCATAACTTATTTAATAAAATGCACAGTATTTACATTTTACATAAGATACGTTTCTTTCATTTAGCAACTGTCTGAAACTATATCCCCATTTCGCAATTTAGCCAACGAATAATTATTAATTACGCACATAGATGTTATACTTATCTAAACATCACACTGGCAATTCGTTTACGATTATTAATTACATTTCTTTATAAACTACCAGTATACTTTGTACATTACCATAATATTTACATATAAAAAACGTACAAAATTGAAAATATAATTTCATTATTTCTTCAAAAAATTCGGGATATGTAATCACCTAGAAAAAGGCTGTAGAAAATGTATGCTAGCTATGTTGCAAATATATAAAATTTTTGAAATCGCTTTGAAAGATGAATCGCATTATCTATTCTTTTTCTTTGGACTATATAGTAATGAAGAATATGAAAGACCAGCCGTTGCAACTATAACGCATAATTTTATCATCTGACGTCATATGCTTAATTAATTATTTTCCTGCTTTCCTTTTTTTTAATTTAATATCTTTGATTTGTAATTTAAAAATTGTGCGTTTAAATTACTACCTTTACATTTTTTTAATTAATTTTGTTTCATTCGTTTTTAGTATTTTAATATTAAATGATTAATATGTACTAATCATGCTCAAGAAAATTTAATTTGCATGTAGAATACCCTATTTACTATACACATATAGTCTCTGCAGAAATATGCATAAATGCGTTATAGTGAAAACGATCATACTAAATGCTATTACGTATTTATTGTTATATTGAGCGTATCTTGAGGTCCTGACGGAATGTAACAAGTTGTGCTATCTTTTATATATTATTTGTATCAAAATAAGATTCTTTAAGAATACTACTGTCGTCTGTGCGAAGAATTGACATTTTTCAGACTTTGCAAAAATTATGCTGCAGCATTTGGAACTTTCATACTTTGTAAAATTTGTGCGGCAGAAAATAGTTATTCTGTTATTTAGAAAATTGTATAAAGAGCTCTGGATTCGTATATCCATGGAATGTTACGATTCAATAAAAAACTGTAAATGCTAGAAAATTTACAAATATCCAAAAAGTACACTTCGAATTTCGCTTCATATATAAATGTGCTTATTGTTATTTATACTATTTCATTCTCTCCTTTTTTTCTTCTTAGAAACTTTCAAACAAACGATCAACAGATATCAATTAAATTTGAAAATGATAAATATTTCAAACGCATATAACAATCAACAATAATTAAATGGAAACAATTTTCATAATATAATCACTTAAAAGTATTCATTAATGGAAAACAATGCAAAAATAGCCCTACGAATTTTTCTAGTAGTATCTTAGAAACGTTCTCTGTGAGGACGCATCGAAATTGTACAACAGAAACAAAATGGATCGAAGAAGTAGTGGAAATCCAAAATGTCACTGACATCAGTTTAATCAGTGGAGCAATTGGGTAGGGGCTAGGGTGGGCCTTGCTCCCTATCATTCAAACCTTTTGAGATTTTAAGATCCTAAGCTTCAAAAATTCAAAATATCAGAATTTGAAAACACTGGAATTTCAAAATATTAACCACTTGATACTATTAGTAAATCTAAGTTGTCTGATCCATCGTAGTTACGCCAATGACTGCAACGTTAAGGTGTTTTGTCTGTAGATGAATGTATAGCACCGTACAAGTGACTCGCGTGCTTGCAACACTTTTCCAAAACTTTATACCACATGTATCGTATAAATTTTTACAATTGTCATATCTACAATTCTACCATTCTATATTTATCCTTCCTCCTGTTTTCTAACTTAACAAAAATTTAACCATATATTTTAATGAGATTCCAATAATAAACGTCAACGTTGTTCAATCAATAAAAATAAAAAAGAAGGCAAATTAAATTTAAATTTCTCGATTCATTCACGCTTTTATGTTGAAAACTATAAGCACTAAACTGTTTGTGCAGATTATTATAGTTTTCTTGTCAATGAGATATTGTTCTTCCTAAAACGACAAGCACATTGAATGTGAAGCGTGGCTTAGAGTTCTAGTTCCTCAGCAGTGCGAGAAAGTCTGTGATTATCGATACGTCTGCGCTGACTACGTCTAACTGCATCTGCTCTTCGGTAAGGTTCCGATCTAAGCCCAAGAAGAATGTCTTCCAGTGCACCGTTGTAAACCTCGTCCTGCTGCAACAATTTCTTCTCCTGGACCAGTCTTGTTTTATTTTTCAATTCATTTATCACAGCATCCTGTAGAAAATCATATAATATTTATTAATTATTTGTTCGTTAATAAAATGGTACAACATAAGTGATTAAATAACAAAAATTAATTTTAGAAATATTATACATTAGGTATCATTGTTGATACTGAGAATATTTAATTCGATAAATATTTTAAGAAAAACAAATTCTGAAATGAAAACACTGAATTAGTACATACGTATCTTATGATAATAGTTTCATTTATGGATTTTTGTGTTACCTATAATTAATGTTATATAAGTCCGGCTTAATATTCTATTTAATTGCTATTTCGTTAATTCATATGCATCTAACTTATAAGACTTTTGGCAGTAGCATAGGAAAGTGCATTGGCGTAACTAGGTAGGGCCTAGGGTGAAATTTCACAATTCCAAGAAAAATTCCAAAATTTAAAAAAAAATTAAAATACCAGAATTGCAAGATTTTTAAATTCTAAAATTCTAAGATCCTCCCAGAAAATCTTATCTTAATAAAAAAAATTATGTATCTATAATTTATTACGTGAAATTATGAAAAAGAAAAATTAATTGATATTAGTTGGTAAAATTAAGGGACCTCTTTTACCTCATACCGAAATCCTAGTTACGCCAATGAGAAAGTGATAATAGAGGACTTCTCTCAGGCAACATCAATGCAAGCTCTAGAACACATGCCGATGCATTTTTTAATTTTTTGTTAATGATATGAATCAAGTGAATATACCATCATATTAAGAAAACAGTTCTTTAAAAACGTGAATGTATTAAAAAAATTCTATCTTTAAAAATTCATAGTATCTTCAATCATTCAAATTTTTGCGCCATTTATTAATTGCATTTTAAATCCTGAGAGGCGGGAGAAATGTAAATAAAATTTTAAGGGTGCCAAATTAATTTAAATCTTAATTTATATAATACAAAATAAATTTCTATTAAATATTACTATTTTTGGGCAATAATTACAAAGCAGTATAGAAAATAAGTATTATAATAAAAATATAAGAAAGAACCGTTTTCAAATGTGGTTTAAAGTGTATCCAATAAATGCCTGGATAAAAAGCTAAACCTATATGTGTGTTGTCTAAATGCAGTGTATATGTGCGAATAGCACTTGCCAAAAATATGTCATTAGAAGGAAGTGAGTGAGGAGAGACTTACATGTTGTGAATTGTTTTCTATATTGTTACGTTCTGAGCTCCAGTTCATTAAGATGCCGATGTAACAGACTCTTGTTCGTGTTACAGCAAAATTTCGGTGACTTTAAATCCAAATAAATATGTAACAAATAAGAAAAACAGACGTTTGTGAGATACTTTGTCTGTTCTTGAAACGGAAAATAGAGCATTTCTTGTAATAACGAGAAATCATAATTATTTGATAATCCCCGCAAAATTATATCATGCTATCTCACAACATGCAGCGAAAACAAAGACTTTGAAAAATTACAGTAAACTCACTAGGTGTGTACAAAAATTCATTTAAAGGGGAACTCGCTTAACTGGCAATATACAAAGGCGGCGATATACCGAGAGTTTACTGTAATTTTCTCACGAGCAGTTTTTCAATTAGAAAAATTATTTCCCAACAAATTATACATATATATATTTTTATGTCTTTCCTCCCTTAGTATTGACAATTTAAAAAAAAAAAAAAAAATGAAAAAAAAATTATTGGCATGAATTATTTTAGTGATAGTTGATGTTCTTTTTTATTTTGTTTCGTATGAATAATTTAGAAATGTTAAGTGTCAAGATTTGCAAGCTTTTAATAAATAATCAGCCATGCAAAATAATTGAGAAATAAGCATGTACATAAAGCATGTATGTTTGACATTACACATATTGTAAGTACAAACGTTAAGGAAAAATTAAAGAATTTTTATATTACACGGTGATTATTTTTTCTTTTCTTTTGTAAATTATAAGGAAATGTCTATTTAATACTATCTAATTTATTTACACACTGGATTATATAATGGATCTAATATTCATATTTTTGTTGCAAGGGCATGCATATTGAATGTTTTGTTTATAAATTGATTTGGAATAAAAAGTAAAAAGTAATATTTTAAGAAACACTTGTGGAGTTTATAGCATTGATGTTGAGAGAAAGAAAGGAAGTGGGAATTTAAAAATATATGAAATAATTAAATTTAAGTTTGTCCTAATCCACCCTCGAAAAAATTCTAGTCACACCGATGATAATAACTTAAAATTTTACTAAAAATACTTTTCCGAGTTTTGAAGATATTAAAGAAATTAATATATTTTAGTAAACACAAAATTGAAATAAAATAACAATTGAAAGAGTAAGAGTAGAGTCTGCTAAATGCAATAAAATAAATGGAAATTTAATAAATAAGCATATAATAAAAAAAATATCAAGATGCGAGTACTGTATTCATAAACATAGAAATAAATTTTTAAAATCAAGCTTGTTAAATGCATAGCGTGCATAACTTAGGTAAATATAATTGATTCTTCCCAAAATAAGCGAAAAAAATAAATGAATAAATATAGTATACCTGCTGCTTCTTCTGATTTATTTTATTTCGTTTAATTACATCTTCTGAAGCGTTCAAAGCTTCTGCAGCAGCAGCTTCTAATCTGCGACGCTGTTCATTTTCTTGATCCGCAGCCTAAATAACATATATTTTTTAATTTTATTAATTATACTTATTAAATACTAAACATTTTACCTATGACGTTTGTTTATTAATCTTTAATTAACTAATCAATAAATAATTAAATTCAACAAATGGCTATGCCTGTTCAATAATTTACCTTAAATGCCCTTGCGAATCTAACAAGAAGCGAGAAGAATGTATTAGCATCGGCCTGTCTGGGGCTTTCTCCAAAAAATTCAACGCATTCCCTGAATGCTTCACCAGCAGCGCGAGCATCTGATTTTAGACGTCGCAACTTTTCTTCGGAGTTATTCAAGAAATCTCGCAGTACCGTGTTATGTTTCTCTTTACCACGAAGTTCGAATTCTTTCCTAACAAGATCCATACCCTTTTCCAGCTCGTGGACATCTGTAGTTATATTTTCTAAGGAGACTGAAATTAATAAATGAAAGAAAAAATTGATTTCATTTCTGAGGGCTAAAGGGGGGAGGAGAATTGTTAAAAGTGATTATTTATTATTTAGTATGTCATAATTCATATCTGTCAATCTCTAGTAAATGTTATTAATTTTACCTGTCGCTGCTTTGTCAATATACATAAGCTCGGATTCAAAATTAATCAATTCCGGAAACTTGACACGTATGGTTGCTACAATATAATGTAAAAGGCACATCCTCTTATCGGTGGACTTGGTATCGAGTAATGTGTCTAAACTCTGAAGTTTGAATCCATAAGCAGGACCACGTTTACTGCTGTTCAAGTAATTCCCAAAGGCAAGAATGATCTCTAACACTGCCCTTAATTTCTTCGAACTTTTAACCGTACTTGACGCAGATATTACAGCGTGTATTTGCGGAGTAATCAGATGTAAATTATCGAAAAAGTTTCCTATATAATTCATGATAGACAACTTGGTCGATATTCTTTCCACTTTACCCAACTGCATCAGAAACTTGTCTTCTTCTGTCAGAAGGTTAACGTTCTTCTTTTCAATAATATACTCCCTGTATGCCTTAATCTGCAACGTAATAAGATTGTAATTAAGTATCATAATTTTCAACAGGCTTGCACGCGAAATTGCCCACCGGGCAGTCGGGTGCTTGCGCGATTATCGCGATACCAGTAATTACGTCCGCGGGCAATCTCAAGTGCCCATACTCATTTTAATACTTGTTATGAATGCCCGCTTAAGTTTCATAGTGAAACAAGTACCTCTTGATCCGTGGGAACCATGCGCTGCAGTAGCTCCACATTTTCCAGCGAAAGTATCTTCAAATCAAGTGCGTTCACGGCCATGATAACTTTCTCTACAGGCATTTCCATTTTTCTTCGAGATATAGCTACAAGTGTAATAAAGCCAAACGTATAATCGCATAATTTTATATAAAGCAAAGAAGTGTTATAATTTCATATTGAACATTGTACCAATATTTCGTAGTCTGGTGTGCTCCAAAAGAGACACATTTTCTGGTTTTTTGAATCTTTTACTAGGGAAGCTTTGAAGACCGTCAATTTCATTGGTGCCATTGGCAACGTGCCCACCCATTCCAATCTTAAACCGCTCTTCGAAATCGGAGAAGTCTATGTAATTGTGCAGTCGGTCGTCGTCCAATTCGTTGAAGATTGTGCCTCGAACTTGATTCGGCTTCAGGGCAATCCAATTCAACGTTGGAAGTTTATATTTCGTTTGGACCTATAAATGAGGAACGAAGAACGTTTGTACAATTATCTACAATGTAGGGTTTCCTTACTCAATAATTATAAAGATATTTACCTTTCGTTTAATAGTCATCGCTCCGTCCGGTGCCTGCATCATGCCCGCGGGTGGCGGAGGTATAGGGGCAGGTGGTGGTAACTTGTGATCGCCTGGTGAAAGAGGCGCCATAGGAGGTGGAGGAGGGCAGGGAGGAGGAGGTGGCGGAGGTGGTGCAGGGGCAGGTGGAGGAGGTTGCGCCATTATCGGCGACGGAGTCGAATTCATTGTAGAGGACGTGATATTATCCGAGCTGCTCATTGGACTCGTTGCAGATCCATTTCGAAGATTGGCTATTTAATTATATTGAAAATATTATTCATTAATTTTCTACAACAGGCAGTATTTTTAGCTAATACTTCTGGCTAGTAAAGGGTCCAAGCCTAAATATCAAAATGTTGAGAAACGTACCGGTGGAACCTTTAGTAAGAGTGCCGGTAAGAGTCTCCAGTTCAATAATTTTGTTTTCTAGAACGCTCTGCCTTCGAGCGGAATCCTGTTTCTGCCTCTTCAGAGCTGTAAGTTCCTCTTCGGCCAGTCGACGAGCCTCCACAGCCTCCGCGTATTCTACTTTCAACGCGCCCAATTCAGTCTCTAGTTCGGCTAACTTAGCCAGGGATTCTCTTTCCAGTTCTGCCATTCTATCGTGCGCCTAATATCCCAACAGGTATGAAATAAATATACCAAGTTATATGCTAGTATAAATGAAATTTTTTTAATTATTTAAAGAATGACACGACACACTTACGTGGCCAAGTTCATCTTCTAATTCAGCTACTTTTTCTAACGCGGCAGTCTTGGTTTCGCTGTCCTCCATCAAGGCAGCTACGTCGAACACATTATCCAGATACGCAGAGATTTGAACCTAGGGGATCATTAAGTCAAAATCAACACGATTCTTAAAACTTTTCTTTCAAATACAGACCATTGACACCTTGTATTGTTATCATATGTATATGTACAATTAAGAACAAATGTAACATATTTTATGTTTTTCAATATTAGCATTCAAAATTATCGTTTTACTTGACACAAGACAGATTCAATTTATTAATATTGAAAGAAACAAATAAATCAATTAAAATTGATCGAATTGGCTTGGAAAAAGAACAAAAACGTGTGATGATTTAATTTATGTTTGTACAGTTGAGTGCAACGTAGACTTCTCCTGGATAATATTTTCAGCACGGATGACGTCATAAGACGTCGAACCTGACAAATACGACGAACGAGTCAAGGGTTCAAAATGTAAACTTAAATATTTCAAAAATACATATATACGCGAATAATGGGGTATATTTTCTTCTAGACCATCATTTTCTCTATGGAAGTCTATCATCTTGATACGAACGGTGATTCACTAACCTGGAGGTCTTCGCTCTCGGTATGCCTAAGTTTCTCGAGATATTCATCTAATCCAAGCTTGGTAAACTCGTACTGCAGGTGTACTCTGAAATTCATGTCCTCGACCGAGTGAACAACGATGTTCACGAACTGCATACAAGCGACCATGAATTCTATGTGAAAACTATCGTATTGGGTGAAGTATGCCATCAGCGTTGTGAATCTTCGCCTTTCCGAGCACACTTCCTTGAAGTTATCGAACGCGGACAGAATAATCTCGTGTCCACCCTTCACAAGACAGATAGCGGCTAACAATTCCAACACTAGAGCCTTCGTTCTAAAGAAAAAGAAAAAAAAAAAGTATTTTTCTCAATTTAAACATCATAGAAATAGAAATTAATTTTTCTCACGTTTTTTACCTTAAACTTTTGTGCATCAAACTAAGAGCGATGCAGTTAATTGCTTCTCGATGTTGTATGACCATATTAAAACCGTACTGGAAAAAATTCATTAAACCAAATAAGGCTTTGTTTTAATTTTTGGAATTTGGGAATTCTGGAAGTTTGAGTGAAATTTTTATCCTGAAATCTCTATAACTATCAAGTTAGTGGACGTTACAAACGAAACGTTAAACCAGCTTCTAAATGGGAAGGGTTAATAGTACCAGTAGTCCTTGTACTAATTCTTCTACATACACAGATTTCATACCTTGTTATTCATGATGGCACGCATGCACAGTATGCAAACGTGAATGTCATCCTTCGCTTCGCCCATATTTAGACGTGCCACGTGCCTGGATCTCCTTTTAACACCAGGACTATCCTTGAGCTCGTGGATTGGTGGCCTGAGACAGCCGTTATTTAAGGGTGAGGTGTCACCAGGACCAGCTACAATAAAAAAAAAAAAAATCAAATTATTAAATGCAACTTTCAAAATTTCAAAACTTCAAAAATCAACACTTCATATGTAGTTCTGAAAATGAAAACTAACAAAATTATTTTTATACACAATTTTAATGATACTGTTATTAATCAAAATTACCAGTTTGTAATTTCTCTTCAGAACTGGCATGCGATTCCAGGAGACGTTGTTCGTGTCTCATCATGAGTAACCTGAAGCTGAGGTAGTCTATGAGGGCATCAAGCCCCTGATTTTCTTCGTCCAGGAACTCCCTTACCCACCTGAAACATGATTTATTTTACAGAATAGATTATTTCAAATTTTTTAAATACAATATAAGAAAACTTACTCAATGTGATTCGTGCGTAAAGAGATCTCCAAATCCCTTAATACCTGCGTCGACGTCGATTCTCCGACCATTTTTCTTTTCTGAAAGAACGTGAGAAAACGATACGTCTGTATAATGATTAGTATCCGTTGTTCCAAGTTTCTCACGCGAAAAACGAACAGAAAATAAACGGACTTTTTCTTGTACAAAAACCAAACAAGTACAGTCAACCCTTCTAACACGAATACATAATTCGGTCTCTCTTAAGCGAAACCTTATTTGTTCAGAATCGTGTTTAAAGGGTTGAGTGCATATAATATTTAAAAGCGTATTTTTCCCGTTAACTGTACCAATTGAAACAATTAGAGAACCGCTTACAATACGCTATTCTGTTCCAATTCGCGTTACAACAGAAAAGGGACGAAAATACGAACACATAAGGAATATGCGTGAAATAATGTAAATTCAACATACTCGATGGCTTCGTGACGCTTTCGGATCTAGATACGTTCGTAATTTTGCTAAGTAATGTGATGGTGGATCTTTTGCTTGTACCCTTTCCTGAAAAGAAAAAAAAAATAATAATAATATTATTAATATTATTGGAAGATTTATAACTAGAGCCAGCCCTGACACTGGATTTCTGGAATTTTTTATTTTGAAATTCTGGGGAATTTGGGGATTTTTGAATTTTTTATATTGAAATTCTGAAGAATTTGGGGATTCTGGAATTTTTTATTTTGAAATTTTGGGAAACTTGGGGATTCTGGAATTAAAAAAATCAGGGATTTATAACAGAGCCTCCTGGAAAGTGGGGCCTGGGGTTGCAGACCCTCTCAGACCTCCTCTTAATCACCTTAATTAGGCACTGACGATATTAGTAAGTCATGGAAAAAAATTTGTTGAACCTCCTATTAGATAATTATGATTGTGCCACTGTTCGAATTAATTTCATAGATACGTATTTCAAGTGTACACGATACATGAAATTGTTCGATCCTTTGAAGGGACGCGTATTTCGAGCTACAGCGAGGATTGAAGCGAACGCCTTTGTAATCAGGGTGTGTGCAATTCCACACTCGGTGGTTTTAATGGGCAAGGCACTATGGTAGCTTCCTCATTGGCGTAACTAGGATTTTTGTATGGGGTGATATGGATCCTTTAGCTTTTAAGTATCAAATGTTTCATACTGTTTAATTCTAATTTAATTGTTTACAATAAAAATATTTATTTTTGCTAAGATAAAATCTTACGAGAGGATATTAAAATTTTAGAATAACGAAACTGGTCCACATTTTATGGGGATCTAACCTACTCTAAACCCTGTCTACTTACGCTACTGAACTCCTACACAAGCACACCGTAGAACAATATCCCACGGTTTTCCTAAATGCGTGTCTGGCTGCGTGAATGCGTGCCTGTGCCACTAATTTGGCTAATTTCACGCATGTGGGTTCATTCTTCGGATACACTTTCATCTCGCGTGTACAGTTCTCAAAGGATCATCGTTACTTCTCTGTAATTCACACATGGAACGCGAAACGGTAAATTCCTTTCAAAGCTACCTCTCATCCTGGTCATTACTATAAACGTTGATTCAACGTTGTGTCTTTTTAATTGATACCGTTGCCAGACCAAATGTTTATTGCTAAGATGTTCCATAATTAATGAACAAGAACGTACAAATTCTTAATTAAAAAAAAAAAAAAAAAAAAAAGTATGTTGAATTTCAGAAATTATTTTAAAAAATTCGAAGCTGTGCCCTGACCACGTGTGTACACGTTCCTCTGGTAAAGTAGGGATGCTGTACTTTTTTGTGGCCCGCTTTCTTGTATCGTATAATAGCACGGCTTGCATTACATCCGTGTCGTGTTACCCACATGCCCTACAGGCGTATTCAAAAATCGGGACGGGCCATCGATGACCCCAACAGGCAACCCTATCGCCTCAAGAATATCCTATTTCATCAACAGATTCTGGTGCAACGGCATCTCAGAGGTGGATAGAACTGGCAGAAAGTATCTATTTATTTATTGAAAGCTTCACCTAGGATCATTGGAGTGACTGGATTTTTTTTGGGACGAGACAGGGCCGTGTTTTTAAATTTGGGGGTATTTTAAAATTCTAAGTTTTAGAATTCTGGAATTTTTTATTTTGAAATCCTGAGGAATTTGGGGATTCTGGATTTTTTTATTTCGAAATTCTGGGGAATTTAGGGATTCCGGATTTTCAAAAATCAGGGATTTTAGAATTGATAAATTTTAAAATCTTAAAATTTTTAAATGATAAAATGAAGGGTGGGTCTGGCCCCTAGTTACATTAATATCCGAGACTCATCCTTGCAATAAAAGAATTGTTAACAACCACGTATCCTCAATTCAGACGACTCGTCAAATCCATTTTATACTTTCCACCATTCTTTCTAGCTCACAATGAGAAAAGGGAGCGATTTCCACTCGAGACGAGTTCCACCCTAACTGCTTGGCTCTTCTCTGTTTAACGAGGCAAGTGGTCCACCTAAACCGCAAAAACCTTGCCTGAACTCTTTACAGGGACCCTTTTGTAGCTTTTTCTTCCGCTATTCCGGAACAGAGAACTGACTTAATGCATGCGATAAACCATTTGGCTGCAGGAAGCTTTTCAAAAGATTCCCCCTTACGTTCACGTTTAATAATATTATTTCAGCTACCATCGTTATCCTCAACATTATTATGAAATTTGTATACCAATTAATTCCATTATGATCAAGTAAATATTTGTTGTTTAATTAATTATACACATAATATAGTTTATATTTTTTTCGATCACGGTAATTATAATAATATTTCAAATTTATCATACTAAAAGATACTTTTATTGTTAATATTCTTCTCGCTCCTATAGCAATAAATTTTTAATTTTCATATAAATTTAATTCTGACCACGTAATAAATAAGCATATCATTTTTTTAATGGAAGATTTGGTACCGTACGGACAAAATGATTGATTAAACGAAATAAGTCGAGGAAGGATCGTGGGACGATTTATAAAGCACGGGTCGTGGACCCGCATTCATTGGTCGGCGAGGAATTGAACGAATACGAAGCGGGCAAAGATCTCAGAATAAGATGATTAACAATAAGTTCGTCAAGTTAAAGGCCGATTACGTCATTCTTATGATTCGTTACAATGCCAGTCTGGTATCAATTTCGCGAAGAAACATTTGTGAATGACAGTATGAAAAATTTCACGTACCGTACGATGTACTTTCATTCAAGAGTTCATTGTACTTTTTCAGTTTAATTATTATACGGTTGGAGAAGTTCATATTTTCATGGCATTATACATGTGTATATAGAGAACATTCGACGATATAAATTTTAAAAATTTTGCTTTGAAATTTAATTTCTAAATTTTATACAAAGCTGCTGTTAATGGATGCTGCATACTTACTTGATCGCATATGATGTCCCATTTTTTCTCGTTGTCGTACTGCTTCAAAAGTTTTGCCTTGTCCGGAGGTAAATCCATTGAAGCCTGAAACACACAAAAAGATCCAAGTTTCACTTTAATGTCTGAGCGTGTATGATACCGAGCCATGTACCATGACTCTCTTTTCTCTTCTTTTTATTCTGTTTCTTGGCAAATAAAAGCAGCCTGCAAAACACAACGGTGATTCAGGAATAATTCATAGGAAATAATTAACTTGTTTCCCTTTGCCTTATGAGAACAATGAAAATTGTCTTTATAATTGTTGGAAAATTGTTGTAAATATTTGTAAAATAATGTGTATAAATAGCTTTGCGTCAACAATGTACTTTGCGTTATATAACTAGGAATAACTAAAATACTTTATTCTACCTTGAAAAGCTACAATTTTCTGATAAGAATTGCTTGTTATCTTCATTTTACAATAATTAAATCGCTTACTCACAAAATTGCATTTTTTATTATCCTATTTCAGTTGGGTCTAAAAGTAAATTATTTTCAATTTTTAAAGAAAACTAAAGCTTTCGTTCAACAAATATTGCAATTAATTATCGAACCAAAATGAATAAATAATTAATTTCCCTTTGTAGATGGTACACCGCTAATTAGTCGAATATGCAAACGCTGTGATCTCATAGTATCCCTTCTTGTTTGAACTGTCCTCGTTAGGGTAATGCAGTCATCAAAGGTCGTGGTAAAAGAACCGAACAAGTACCTGAGAGCTGCTGACTTTATCGAGTGGCTTTCATTTTCATCGTTTCAATATTTTTAATTTACACACCTGATGAATAAATTACATTAGCTAATAATGTTTACAATCCTACAATCTAAATTTCTTTCTTTCTTTTTCAATATTTAGATACACTTATTAGGTGTAGAAATAAATTCCGTGCTTTATCTTTATTTTTAAAATTATAGTAATTTCAAATATTAAAATAATTCTTATCCTTATCATATTTTCGCGCCAATTTTCAAGTTCATGGAAGCGCGGAAAAATATTCGAATGTAAATGTTCGCGCATGCGCTGTCCCGGTTCGGGGCAATCCTAACCTAGACGCGCTTAAAAAATAAAAATAACAAAATAATAATCTCGTAACATAAAATAAAATAGAAATTAAATAGTAGAAATCGGCAACTATAGAAATAACAATGTAATAATATTCTACTCTACCAAAAGTTAAAAATGAATACGAAATTCACCGTCTAGTTGGACGGGTGACTAGTCACCGCCAGTGCACAGCGAGCGTCAGACGTTGAGTGACAGGTTAAAAAAGGGTTTAAAAAAGGAGTAATATTAAAGGCACCGAATTATAACGATACGAGTGAAACCAAAGATCGAACACGTCAGTGATAAAAACGAAGGTTGTGAAAGCTGAGTCAAGAATAATATTCTTAGTTATGATGTATAGGTGGTCGTGGTTAGCGACGAGCATAGTCGACGAATAATTATCAAAGAGCGGATGCGGAAGCCACGAGTGCATGACATCACTACTCGCGATACATATACATTACGCATACGGTGCATCTACTTGAACGGTGAATTGTACGATAACACGATGAACGCGCACCACGCGAAGAATTACATAAATCGCGATTTGTAAACGACCTTCTTGTACAAACTTATACTTTTAATACGTAGGATGAATACGACGCAATTTTAAAAAGTATGTTTACGTATATTTTGTGACTCATAAGCTTCGTTTGAATATCACTGATAAGATGTTCAAATGGAAATAAAGAAAATTGTATTTACCCTGGACAAAATGAATTTGTTCAAAGAAATGTACAGAAAAGAAATGAACTTTCTCTGGATAGGAAAGTAACCGGGTCAATAGGTCAAATCAAGTCATATAGATCTTAAGATAACAATATCATTCGACTAGTTATAGCTTCGGAACGATGACTTTTCCTACGGTTCTTTCCTAGTTAGAGAAAGCAAACGCACGTTCTCGTTCGTTGATCAGAATGAATTACAATTTCCAACGATGCAATAGAAGTTCTACGAAAACTGTACTCCTTTTGCAACAGCTATTTACGCGTTCCCAGTGAATAAAGAAAAGCTGTAATTTTCCGGAGGCGAGGCGATGTTTGCACTGTTACGGTTTCTGATCATTTGGAACAACTCCAGTTTCGTTTCAGTATGTTGAACACTGTATTTTTCTTTTTACCAATTAATAGAAACTAATTTTTGTCTTTTTGAAATAAGATAATAAATTTCATTTTCTACGTTCGAAAACAAACTTTCCAATGATTTAATGTAACATTTCGCAAGAAATTACATGTGTATGTACATAATATTATTATGCAACGAAACTTTTCTTTTTCAAGAATAATTAGTATAATATTTTCCGATATTTACTAATTAATATTTTGATAATAAAAATGCTGTTTCATAAACATTTGAACGGAATTTATAGAATTTTAAAACTAAGGCCAGTCGTGTGCCGCAACGTTCAAACGCCGAGGACTTAACACGCGATATCGCGTGATCGTCACGGAGACACAAAGGTGTTACAATAGACTGAAACAAAACCAGTGTTACCAGATTCGCCGCGCTGGTCGAGTTAAAAGCTCCTGTTCGTAGTGACGTTCCCCTTAATTCTCAGCGAAGTGCACTTAAAGAAGCAAACAGGTCGTTCAAGCAAAATGTTCCTGGTATCCGAAAGTCAAGTGATCGATAATATGGAGTGACACATCGAAAATTACCCTCCTTGGAAATTGTCGATACCGACTAGTCAGAAAGAAATCATTTATCATTCGACGTATTAAAAAATATACTAAAAAGAAAAATGGGAAAAATAGAAGAAAAATTTTTTTTTTCTAAAGTTGAAACAAATAAACTCATTAACACCAGAACTATCAAACCAGTCAAAATGACTGGTTTCAAGTTTCTTATTTTAATTTATAAATTTTAATGACGTATTTTTGCTGAAATTATATTGGCTATTGGATGAAGAATGGATTATATATTTAATTTTCTGAATTATTTTCAACCTAAAAATTAGTTCTACAATTGGAAGATTTCAATTTGATTAATTCCCTTTTTATACCAATTTCAATGACACAAAATTACCATATTTTTTCCTGAAAATAATGTTCTTGGGTACACAAGGGTAGCCTGGCAAAATGACGCTCAGATTCCTAGCATAATAAACGACGAATACTTGGGTTACATTTGCTCCGTATTGCATTACGGGCCGAGGAACCGGACTGTCTCTGAACACCGATGATTGCGAAACGATCTGTTTGTCACGGTTCAATGAGCGACCGCGGCTGATACAGCCAAAGACGATCTCGGGGATCGATTGAAATGCAAGAACTTGCGCCTAGCCAGTGTCAAGTATCCGCATCGAAAATTTTTTAAACAATAGCTAACTTGTTAAAAATATATCTACGTATATCCTGTGTCGATTTTACGTAACCACGTAAAAGGGCAATTATTTAACGATCACCAGAAAATGAAATAGACAAGCAGACTAAGTTTGCTAGTATTACATGCAACGCTGCGCCGGAATAATGAGACGGGTGTTTCCAGGCCAAGGGTCACCGGAAACGGAGATTAGAAAGGGCATCGAGCATCGTGCGATGCTCGAAAACCAACAATTTTTACAATTCATTCAAAGAGATTTTAAATAAAAAGAAAATTAGGGTTCTATAAACTCATAGTAAAAGGTTGTACGATCAAGTATACATATGTAAATGTTTCATGCTCGTATCTGGAATCCAGTCGAGCTATTAATTTACTTAATACAAGATTGAAATCGATACCGTGATACTAATATGCCTTATCTCCAGACGATAGTTTTCTTATCAGAATCATTAATTCTTACATTTGTTCAACGTATTTATTGCTATCCATTAAATCAAACAGCAGATTTCGGGAAATTTAATTTCTCAGATAGCCAATGCTTTATCGTACATCGGATAAGAGGGAAAATAATTACGTTACTTAGAACTTAATTTCATCGTCGGTGAATGCTTAAAGAATTATCGCAAAGGTATTACGATAAAATTTAGAAAATATTGCTTCGTGAAACGATACAAACGGAGTGATACGTAAATGGAAGAAAAAGGAATTCCAGTTGGTGAGGATGGTGTACCATAACAAGACCGCAATCTATCAGTTTAATATCCCATAAAAGCTTCATAGAAACGGCGCCAGTGCGGTCGACACAAAAAGCAATTCACGAGACGATGAATCGTGGAAAGTGCCTCTTCCGAAGGTTCAATGTTCTCCTGGCCGATTGTATTTTATCTGACGATCAATGTCAGATGCTATTTCAAGGTATGCACACGAAATTGTCCGTAGGGCAATCGAGTGCCCGCGCGCTCCTCGGGAGCCCGGGGAAAGTACGCTGGAAATTTAAACTTCTTTTAATGAAATATAAGTATGGAGGAATAGAATATTCAATCGTTTGTATTTAAAACGAATCAGGAAGCCTACATTGCATCAGAATGTACCGAAACGTTCGATCCACCTCCGTGGGCGATTTTGCGTGGATGCACCATAGCACACGGGGGAACCCACCACCATCAACACAATCAATAATCAGATGGAGTATATATACCGAATGACAGAAATCCTCGTTGGTTTCTGCCCACTCGTTTCTTTTCTCCTTGGCCCAACATACGCGTTAACGAGCTTCACAGGGTGGCTGATGCGCCATTAATATTTTCCAGTCGCTTCTAACAATAAGACGTACATCACTTTTATGAATTTAACATTAGATTGCCGGTGAGAGTCAATTTCATTCATTTACGATTTTATTTAAATAATTTTTTTAAAACATATGTTGCTTTTTAATAGAATTATGAAATGTCCCCTCCCACTCCTTAGTTCCAAAAATCCATATGTGCAATCTAGTGTTAACGAGCTAGGGAAAAAAATTTCAGGTTTATTCGTTTGATATACCAGAGGAACTTATTGATTTCTTAGATGGAAAAAAAAATATGGAAACACGTCTTACCCTTCCATCAGCTAATATTACCCTGTCCAAAGTTTGCTAATTAAGTTCTATTGATTACCTAACTGGATCCGCGACTTGGGT